TGTCATACTCCAATGTAACGGAAAAACAATTAAAGAAAAACTAAATAATAATAATAATAAAATGTCTCCACTGATCTTGTGTAAATGTGATTTCTGTATGATTCCAATCGCATTTTATAGTCAAAATCAGAAAATTGGCCGAGCTCCGCTACGGGAGCGATGAGAAGTGAGGCAGGGACGAGCTCTGCCTCTCGTAAGCCCACAGTAACTTGCTGGAGCACGGGCACTAATTTAGCGCGGCCACTTATTTTGTGAGCGCGCTCAAGCCATTTACTGTGGGGTAGGTGAGGCACAGATGAGCTCTGCCTCACCTCAGAATGCGTCACCCCACAGAAACTGGCTGGAAAGCGGGCCCGAAGCGCATGCCTGTTCCCATCTCACTGTAGGTCACCAATGTAATGTTTGTAGATCCCTTTATTACATTTATCCTCGCCATCCATAGTCTCTAAATAACTTATTTCACGTATATATGATATTTAGGCTCGCTACACATATACAACGGCAATGAAAAAATCCCCAGGGGAGGCAGCCATAACCTCTGCCGCACTGAAGGGGGCGCACGTGAGCCCACAGGTTCTTGTTGCTACTGTTATTCAAACAACAAACTCGACTTTTGAAACTACAGGAAGATAAGGACGACTTTTACAAAACAGTAATAGAGATTGTTGTCCAGAAGGATAGCATGGACTTCTATTCATCTTCAAGTCAAGGTAAGACCACAACTGTAATGAAAATGGGATCTTACTTAGAAAGAACAATCCAATATTTAGATTTTGGGTATCCTTTTGTTGATCGGTCTGTTTAAAATTAATCATAGCATCAGACTAAAAAAGCTTTTGAAAATAACAGAATATTTCGATTAAGGTCAAAATAGGCTATACTATTTGTAAATCTGACTCTGAAAGAGTCAGTGCCTCACCAGCCATGAACCTCACCGCACGTCACTGCTGTAGATAGATACCCCCAAAGCTTTTTTCTTATTTGAAAGAAGACCTTAGCCTAAAGTATTCTTTAATGTGTTAATAAAGGTTAATTAGTTTGTCTGTTTTGCACATCCTCCTATTAATATCTTTGTACATCCGGCACTAAACTGTTTTATTGTAGAGATCACTTATATTCTATATTTCTATCATTGACCTTCTACTTTCCCCCTATGAAAGTATGTACTCTTAATATTTTTTTCATCAAATAACATTATTCAACAAAAATAATTAAATAACGTGCTTTAACCACTAGGCGGTGCACACAAGGTACACACAGTATACTAATAATAACTTTGTATTATTAGTGTAGGACACTTATGTATGTATAACATCTGAAGATGTGTAGTTTTATTCATGTTTTTACATAATTTTACAGCATATTGCTATATTATTTCTCATGTTTTACTTCTTCACATTAATATCTGATTTGTAAAACATCACAGACAGAAAGGTATATCCGTCATTTGATGGTAAGCTATTGAAATTGTGATTCCATAGATGTGTCTCCCATCACCCAAATCCCCTGACTATTCTCTCAACTCAGTATTTACATTCTTATATTCAAAGAAAATCAGTAATATCTTTAAAAACTACAAGTCCTTTTCTATCAGCTGTGCACCGTTATGGTGTAAATATAACCTATCTACCAATTGGATCAAATATAAAAGTCAGCCAAATTAGTATTGATAATGCAAGGAGACGTATTTTGTGAAAAGAAATGTAAGATGTTGTTTAATTGCTGATATATTTATGATCCACGTCACGTTTTCAGTTTCGGTGGCAGTTCTTCCTGTTTGTCTAGAAGTCTTCTCATCAGGGCTCTATAAATAAAGAACTACGGCAGATATGTAATATTTAATGCAGCCGAACCGTGTATTACAATGCCGTTATGTGATGACTTTCAAAGAGAAAAGCAAGAACACTCGGAATAAAGTATTATTATTATTTATTTTTTTATGTTTTCGGATTTCACATTGCATAAACACCATATCCCAATGTGCATTGCGGCTAAAACATCCAATCAGCGAGCTGAGGATCTTTCCTACGTCTGTTTCCGGTATTGTTCCTGTAATGAGAGTTCACATTAATGCTACATTGAAGGGTGGAATTGACTACACATCTTCAGAAACGTAATTTGCTTCAGATATAACTCATAACAATATTGTAACCATTAAGAAAAGCCAACTGCATTAAAAACCCAGTTAACAAACACTAGGTAAAGTATTTTTCCTTCAGTAATGAAGATGTAATTCCAATGTAGACACACCTGGGGTCGCTGTTCAGTCTGTTATGCTGAGCCATACATTGTCTGGAACGTAAAAGGGACGAAGAAGACAAAGTGAAGTGACGTACTTCCGGTTCCACATGAAAACATTCCCAGTGCAAAAACAAATCGCTAAATAAAGAGATAAAACACTGGCATGTAATTTACGTTTTGAATAATAGATGAGAGTAAAATCTACATCACTTTACAGCTCCGCCCACTTTTGGGGAAACCAACGCTGTCATTTGAACGGCGATCAAGCCTGAAGCCACAGAGCTCTTCTGTTACTGTCCTTTCTTCTTAGAGGCTGTTTGAGGTATTTGAGGTGCAATAAACGACACAGCAGCTTTTTGGCATGTTAAAACTATTATTTTCTGCCTCGCAGCTGGCGAAATTACAGCCTCGCCTACTGATTTTAATTTAACCATAGGATATCGAGCCCGATCGTCGATTTCAAATGTGTGCTCTAAAATGATATTTATAAATGACTATTATCATTATTATAAGCAAGACAATAAATGGCAAATATATGTAGAAAATAAACGTATTTAAGATACGTTCATAACAAACGTAACGTGTGAGAAAATACGTTTCTTGCTAAATGTAATTGAGAATGCAGTTTAGTTCTGTGGGAACGTAATTTTTAGGAGAAAGGGTTGCTCTACTTTAAAGAGTCCTCTCCTGCTGATGTTCAGGTGTATATCAGTATGTAGTGTCTCTACTTTAAAGAGTCCTCTCCTGCTGATGTTCAGGTGTATTTCAGTATGTAGTGTCTCTACTTTAAAGAGTCCTCTCCTGCTGATGTTCAGGTGTATTTCAGTATGTAGTGTCTCTACTTTAAAGAGTCCTCTCCTGCTGATGTTCAGGTGTATATCAGTATGTAGTGTCTCTACTTTAAAGAGTCCTCTCCTGCTGATGTTCAGGTGTATATCAGTATGTAGTGTCTCTACTTTAAAGAGTCCTCTCCTGCTGATGTTCAGGTGTATATCAGTACGTAGTGTCTCTACTTTAAAGAGTCCTCTCCTGCTGATGTTCAGGTGTATTTCAGTATGTAGTGTCTCTACTTTAAAGAGTCCTCTCCTGCTGATGTTCAGTTGTATATCAGTATGTAGTGTCTCTACTTTAAAGAGTCCTCTCCTGCTGATGTTCAGGTGTATATCAGTATGTAGTGTCTCTACTTTAAAGAGTCCTCTCCTGCTGATGTTCAGGTGTATATCAGTATGTAGTGTCTCTACTTTAAAGAGTCCTGGAAAAAAAAAAGTAAAACATATTTAAAAATGTATTGATTGTGTATTATTGATAATATTGATTATTGATATGCATTATTTTATTAATATTTATTTTATATATTCAGAAAGAAATGGTTAAAATTCAAGACATTCATTTTCTAAAAACACGAAAGACATGTAAGTAAAAACACCGAGGTGTAGGAGTACTCGGTTACAAGTAAAAGTATTGCATTACGCCCCATTTCAAAATATGACTATATATATTATTGTAGTATAAATATTTGAGAACATACTGCCTGTGTCACGATACTTTTGGGTTATATGTACTCTTGTATCAGTAACCCACTAATTTACCTCGTTCTTTTGCTATCTCATCTACTTCTTGGCTACATGTTACGTGCCGTAGTGGGTGCTTTTGTGTGTGTGTGTGTGTGTGTGTGTGTGTGTGTGTGTGTGTGTGTCTCTCTCTCCCTCTCCCCCCTCCAGGTGCAGCCTCTCCCTCAGGTGCTCCCAATCCCCAATCAGGGCCTCCATAAAGGACCTGAGGAAGGCTGCAGTCTCTCTCTTCCTTCTCCTGTGAGCAGCATGGATGGCAGTGGATGATCTGTGCAGCAGTATAGTGTTTTGGTTGTTGTCTATGTGAGACGTGCAACGTGTAGAAGTTCTGAGTAGTGTTATGGTTTACTGTTGTCGCTTTATTTTATGTGAAAGTTGTTTTGGTTTTGTCGCAAGTTTGCAAATTGGCTGGTGAGCCTCCTTTTCTTGTATTAATTAAAAGACCATCTTGTGGCTTCACAAATCAGTTTCCTCTCCTTTTTTCTCTCTCCCTGTTATTTTATATTTTGCTACTTCCATTTGTACCCCTAGTCCAGGAGGGAACGTAACACTACATAACAGCTGAAACCTAACAGTTAAAATCCAATAAAAGTGACACAGCGTTAGAAGAAGTAAAGAAATCAAAGCTTACCTGTTTTTTTGTGTGCAGTGCAAGCTAGAAACACAACTGAACTATCTGAGTGCAGATCTTGTGAATGCAGGACACACCTCTTCTACCTGTGTGTGTGTGTATTCCTGTACTTCCTCCTTTGTGAGGACCAACCTCCGCTTCAGGTCTTTTTAGGACTTTCAATAAAAAACATGTCATTACATTTAAATTCATTTAAAATATATTTTCTGTAATGAAAATGCCCTGAATACAAAAAAATCAAATTATTGATATTCAAGACAATACATTAAAAGTTATAATAACACTTAAAACAAATATTTTGGAAACAAATTTCACATTTTTAGGAATGTATTTAATTTTTTTTTAAATATGAACATTTATGGGAAATGTAAGAACAATATGTAGCCATATCATTACTTACTTTTTTTACATCTTTTAATTTGTATTTTTGTAAAGTGCTGTATTCCCATTTATGAATCACTGTATGTTAATAGCTCCGTGACGTCAGCAGAGCGTCGGTGACACGAACTGAATTAAACTAGAGAGAGAGAGAGAGAGAGAGAGGGATGGGAGAAAAAGGGAGAGAGAGCATCAGTGTTATTCTGCATCACAGAGAGAGAGAGAGAGGCTCATCACACACCACAACCAGCGGCTTGTTTTCAGGTAAGAACACCTTCAGCTGCGGGATTTAACACACATTTAATCTTTATTATCCTTAGAATAAGTGTGTGTTCTTGAAATGTGTGTGTTTGTGTGTGTGTGTGTGTGTGTGTGTGTGTGTTGATTCGTGTTAAAGATGGAGATGGAGAGATGCTGAGAGAGGGGCGCTGTTCAAAACAACAGCTGCTTTGCATCCATTACAAGCTGCATTTATGACATTTATACAACCATTTTGAAACGTGTATTATGTGTTTTAAACGCGTTACCGTAACGTGTGTTTAGGTGCGTGTGCGCGTGTTTTCATTGTGCGTCCGCGGGGCGTTTTTTCCTCCCATCCTGCCCTTCACTACGCACATTGGCACAAACCACAAACACGGTTTCTAAACATCGATATTTATTCAATTTATTCGCTTCTCAATCATCGCTGGTGTGTGTGTGTGTGCAGCTGTGTGTGTGTGCAGAATAAGGTGTGTGTGATTGGTCGTGTTTTCTGCATGGTGCATGTTCAGTGTTTGTGGTGGTGTTTTAAAATGGAGGCTGATGGAGGAGGAGGAGGAGGAGGAAGAGGATGCTGGCCTTCCTCGGCACATCACATGGTTCAATAGACCCTTAAAAGCATCCGAAATACACATAAAAAGACAATTAATCATCCTTTTGTTCTGCTGTGAGTGATGGTGCTTCATTTCAAATGCGCTTATTCTCGGTTATTACGGTCGTGTTCATGCCCCGTATTCCCACTGGGACTCAATATGAGAGATGCTGCTTTAGAAAATACCCATAATGTGTGAAATTGAAAGGTATTTTAAGTACTAATACTGCAATTTAAACACATGCATGCATTATAAATTGTACTTATAAGTCTAAGTAAGGTAGTATAATTGATGCTTAATGTTAAATGTATAATCCCCATGCAGCAAATTGTTTTTTTTTAGCTGTTATACTATTATAATATATTAGATAAGGCTGCACAATTAATGTACATTTTATTTAAAGTCTAACAAGTGCCATATTCAAATAGCAGGAAGCACAATCTTTTTTAAAGGCTTACTATGTGTTAAAATGCCATTTGGAATAAAGTAATATGAAGATATTCTGGTCTATAAATCATGTTCTACAGACTTAATGAAACATATTTATTTGGTACAGATCATTTTACAAAATCACACCTTGATCCTTGTAATATATTTTAGTGATTTTATCAGATTTGAAAGTAGTTGTCCTCAAATCCTGTAAGAATCTGACTTTACTCTTAATTTGTCCACGTTTATTTATAGTAATTACGTGTGTGTGTGTGTGTGTGTGTATGTGTGTGTGTGTGTGTGTGTGTGTAGGTGTGTCAGACGCTGGTTTCTGTCCAGGCAGCGACTACATTTCATAAATCCCATTACAGATAAAGAATAATATTAAATTAAAAACATCTCTGCAGGACGTTTCAGAGCGTCTGGATTTTCCCTGAGAAAATCACGAGTTGTTTTCATGCAACTTTATCATTTTGTGATCTCACAATCACACGATATTTTTTGTTGTGATCAGAAAGTGTCTTCTCTGAGGTGAGGAGAAACACATTTACTTGACAAAATATGTTTATATCATGCATTATAAAGGTACATTTCCATCGACAAACAGACTTTTAAGAGGCATACGTATGTACGTTTTAAGGCAGGGCTATACAGAAGTGCTTTACAGAAACATATTATACATGACATTTAAATCCAACTTAAAACAGTCATTAAGAAGCAGAGAAGTAGGAATTAAAAGTCAAATATAATCTGGATTGACTGTCTTTCCTTCAATCCAGATGTGTGGATGTCTGATAGCAACGGTTAGCTTAGCATTCAGATTACTTTATGGTCCACTACATTTACATGCACAATGGACATTTGTCTGCACATAGTACAGTTTGGACAATACTCAAAACTGAAATTATTTAATCGTAAAGTCATTCATGTTTGTTAATCTGTAAGAGCATATATATATATATATTAGGGCTGTCAAGTTAACGCGTTAATAACGCGTTAACGCAAAAAAAAATTAACGCCACTAATTATTTTAACGCGATTAACGCATGTGTATTTTTTGTCCTCGGCCGCCCCGTAGTTTCAGAGCGCATCGAGTGTAAAATACCATCTACAAGCTGATGCTGACAGCCCTGCTCCTGCTGCCCGTTTGTGGCAGACCACACTTCCACGCTCACCGGCAGGCCCGGACTGGCCATCGGGAGGACCGGGAGGGAGTGTGTATGTGTGGCGCGACTCGCGCGAGCGAGGCACACCTTACGTGTTGTTGTTGTTAGCATCTGGTGCTAGCTAGCTGCGCTAACGGATATAAGGAGCTGTTTCAATGACATTTCGCCGACAACTGCGCCGAGCACTTGACTTTATGCAGGTAGCCAGACATTGGGACATTGTACGAAAAGTCAGCACACTCAGCACGGATAGTACGCGCAACATGATTGCAGCGTCCAGGCAGCTCCCATTCGAGCATATATGCCTTGAGCGGCACATAGCTCCAACGATCCATCACAGTGTCTCTCTCCACACACACACACACACACACACACACACACACACACACACACACACACACACACACACACACACACACTTATTGTATGAGAGAGGTTCCAGGTTGAATTGAGGCGAATATTTGTAATGTTCAGGTTGTTGTGTTTAATATTCATGAGAATATTTGTCATTGTTCAAATGATAATAAACAAACATATAAAGCATAGTTGTCCACTCATATGTTGATAAGAGTATTAAAAACTTGAAAGATATCCCTCTAAGGTACATTTAGAACAGATAAAAAATGTGCGATTAATTTGCGATTAATCGCGATTAACTATTTTAATCGACTGACAGCCCTAATATATATATATATGATTTGTTTAAGAACAGGTGATGGTGTTGGTTGCAAAAGGTCCTAAGACGCATCCTTGAGGCTTGGAAAGGTGGATGACGGTTAAAATGAGGAGGTGTGTGTGTGTGTGTGTGTGTGTGTGTGTGTGTGTGTGTGTGTGTGTGTGTGTGTGTGTGTGTGTGTGTGTGTGTGTGTGTGTGTGTGTGTGACCAGGTGACAACAGGTTTGTGCAGGACATGTTTCTGCGTTGCTAAGAGCTAGTTTAGATTGAAATATAATGTCTAAGCAACCCTTACAAATAAACATTTCTATTGAAACTATTAGCTCATACATATAAATAACAACGCTTTACTATGGTTTGCAAGTGAAGGAATTACAAAATATTTGGTAAGGTACGTTTATTTATAAAGCACATTTTCAGAGAGCAATTCAAAGTGCTTTACATCAACGTTAACACTTAATAAGGAGACCAAAGAAAGGAACGCAGACACAATGTGATGGAATAAAAGAGATACAGAATAGTTTAAAAACAACATTGTAAATACAGTAGGTGCTAAAACAAGTTAAAAGACTTCTGGGTGAGCAGCTAGTGTTTTTAGCCTCAACTTAAAAGAACTCAGCGTTAGTGAAGACTCAGGGTTTCTGGAAGTTTGTTCCATTTTTAGGGAGCATAAAACCTAAAAGTAGCAAGTGAAGGAATTAAGTAACTATCATCCGTAAGTATTCTCGTATTCATTTGTAATCTCCGAGTCTGTAAAAAGGACCAGAGCTAGCTTACAGTCTGCAGTGTGGTTAACCCATTATTAAATCAGCTGCTGGTACCTCTTGCTCTTTTGGTTTCAGGAGGAATATATCCATAGATCAATATTTTCTTTATGGGCCAGGTGTTTTGTGAGTCTCGGACAAGCGTTGCTTCAAAACGTATTCACCTCCATGCGCATGTGACAAAATATTCTGGCAAATCTCACAAAAGCTCTGTGGGAAACGCCCTCCTCCGTCTACACCCATAAGTAAACTGTTGATTGATTGACATCTGACGCAGCTAATGGTGATAGCCCTCTTGTTTTTTAGTTTCTTTCAGTTGCTAACACACTAAAATGGCCGTATACATGATGTGTATCCATCATTTCCTGGTCTTCTCTAAAGAAGAGGGACCAATGAAAACGTTGTCATGTTGCCGTTGTTCAGCATGGAAACATTCATTAGCTAACAATGACATTATTGTTCTATTCATATAAAGGGAGGTCAGGTACTCTTTAAAACAGCTGCTAGTTATGGGTACTTTTTACTTAAAGGGGACCTATCATGCAAAATGCACTTTTGTACGTCTTTTATACATGAATATGTGTCCCCGGTGTTCCAGGGAACTCACCAAGTGTCAGAAAACACAACCCTCTCTATTTTCCTCCATACCCAAATCTCTAAAAAAGGGGGCTGCAACGGATCTGATAAAAACTGATCCAGATTGAACACTGTCCTGACGTCAGGACGGTGGCGCTACGGCTATTGGGCCAACTCCACCAATCAGGAGGAGACAGCCACGGCCATTGCCGTTCGAAAGCGCTGGAGACGCTGTAGTACATATGCCAGGCCTGTAGGTGGTGCTGTTCTCACAGAATCAGCCCTTGCAAAAACAGGGCTAACATTTTTTCAAATTGAGCAAAATGAGGCATGGCTAAAATGCATGATCTGTTTGGTATTTTGAAAAAAATAAAGTATAAATAAGCCTTACATAGGTATGGTCCTACACTATATTATTCAAATATAGCATGATAGGTCCACTTTAAGTACATTTCAAAGCCCAAACTTCTTTACTTTTACTTGAGTAAAGAAGTTTAGTCAGTACTTCTATTTTTACCAGAGTATTTTTAAACACGAGTATCTGTACTTCTACTTGAGTAAAGGATGTACTTTTGCCATCTCTGGATATTTCTGCTTGTCAGTGTGTTTCCTTGGCTAAAAAAAAAACTGCTTAAATGAGAGCGTCGAAGAAGGGAGTCAAATGAAGGATGCCATCTCTCCGTGAAAGAAAATGTCCTAAAAATCCTTTAAAAAACAGAAAAAGTACACATAAAGCTCAATTATTTTATCACACACTCAAAGAGAAAAACATCAGCTCAAATCTCCAAAACTCTAAGCACATTTTCAGCTCTGCACCCAAGCAATTATCAATTGAAAAAAACTGTAGGACATCGGCTAAATATCTGGGACGAATTATAAAAATGCTGTGAACACCTGGTCCCCCTAAGTCCACGTTGTAGAGTTGTTTGTCACAGATGAAGTCCTGATTGAAGACTTGAGTCCATTTGTTATGTTGTTTTACTGAGAGGTTTCCACACCACGATATTAAACGTGTAATACTCTCAGTTTTGTAAACCACAGACCTGGTGTTAAAGCTCTTTAGTTCCACTTTCTGGCCCTTAATGCAGATGTTGTTGCCTCCACAGACACAGCATGCAAATAGACAGTAGCTTATTCAATATAAAATACAACAGAGCTGCTGTTAGTGTGGGTTTAGCAGAACAGCTCAGACTGTATGACCTACTAACTGATCCGTGTGTGTGTGTGTGTGTGTGTGTGTGTGTGTGTGTGTGTGTGTGTGTGTGTGTGTGTGTGTGTGTGTGTGTGTGTGTGTGTGTGTGTGTGTGTGTGTGTGTGTGTGTGTGTGTGTGTGTGTGTGTGTGTGTGTGTGTGTGTGTGTGTGTGTGTGCCACTGGGTTAACTGGGTTAACTGGGTTCTTGTACGAGCTTAATGCTGCAGTTTAAAGCCTTTCCATTTCACAAATGCGTGTTTTCCTCCTTTCTTTGTGTACTGGAAACTTTCCCAAGGAGTCAGCTTCATTAATATCCAATGCTGATGGTCAGTGCTAATGCAAGGAAGGACTAAACCTGGTGTTTAGCACACACTCTTGTTCAATTAGATATTTCCAGAGGTGGGAAGTAGAGGAGTATAAATACTTCATTACTGTACTTAAGTACATGTTTCTGGTATCAGTACTTTACTCCACTACTTATTTTTCTGACGACTTTTTACTTTGACTTCTTACATTTTGAACTCAAATACCTGTACTTTCTACTTCTTACATGTTGAACACTAATACCTGTACTTTCTACTTCTTACATGTTGAACACAAATACCTGTACTTTCTACTTCTTACATTTTGAACACAAAGACCTGTACTTTCTACTTCTTACATGTTGAACACAAATACCTGTACTTTCTACTTCTTACATGTTGAACACAAATACCTGTACTTTCTACTTCTTACATTTTGAACCCAAATACCTGTACTTTCTACTTCTTACATGTTGAACCCAAATACCTGTACTTTCTACTTCTTACATGTTGAACCCAAATACCTGTACTTTCTACTTCTTACATGTTGAACACAAATACCTGTACTTTCTACTTCTTACATGTTGAACACAAATACCTGTACTTTCTACTTCTTACATGTTGAACACAAATACCTGTACTTTCTACTTCTTACATGTTGAACACAAATACCTGTACTTTCTACTTCTTACATGTTGAACCCAAATACCTGTACTTTCTACTTCTTACATTTCCCAAACAGGCTGGTTCCTTTAGTTTGAATGTGTGTTTGGTGGCGTGATCATTATTATTTAGAGTCATTGCGTGCCTATTGATTTGAACACGATCCGTGTATCCATCATTTCCTGGTCTTCTCTAAAGAAGAGGGACCAATGAAAACGTTGTCATGTTGCCGTTGTTCAGCATGGAAACATTCATTAGCTAACAATGACATTATTGTTCTATTAATATAAAGGGAGGTCAGGTACTCTTTAAAACAGATGCTAGTTATGGGTACTTTTTACTTAAAGGTGGGGTAGGTAATTTTGAGAAACCGGCTCGAGATCGCTAGAATTTGAAAATACTCAGCCGGAAAAAATCTGCCACTTCCTCACAGAGCCCCTCCTCCAACACACACCAACGTGCACATGACCAATGAGGGCACGAGATAAGTTTGTGCACAGATGGAAGGCTGACAGGCAGGTAGGCCATCCAGTTATTTTAGCCTGGCCGGCTAAAATGATTGGTCGTGCTTTTTACAGTACTACAGCTTCCACAGGTGACATTTTTTTATGGATTTTTTGTCAAAGCACTTCAGATATTCATTGCTATCAGGATGTTAAGAGCATTCCATGGAATATAACAAAAAGTGTATCTCGAGACGGTTTCTCAAACTTACCTACCCTACCTTTAAGTACATTTCAAAGCCCAAACTTCTTTACTTTTACTTCAGTAAAGAAGTTTAGTCAGTACTTTTACTTTTACCAGAGTATTTTTAAACACGAGTATCTGTACTTCTACTTGAGTAAAGGATGTACTTTTGCCATCTCTGGATATTTCTGTTGTCAGTGTGTTTCCTTGGCTAAAAAAAACCGGCTTAAATGAGAGCGTCGAAGAAGGGAGTCAAATGAAGGATGTCATCTCTCTGTGAAAGAAAAATTGCCTAAAAATCCTAAAATAAAAAACCTGACAAGATTTTTTTGTTGTGATCAGAAAATATCTTGTCTGAGATCAGGAGAGACACATTTACTTGACAAAATATGTTTATATCGTGCATTAAAAGGTACATTTCCCTCGACAAACAGACTTTTAAGAGGCATATTTATATACATTTTAAAGTAGGGCTATACAAAAGTGCTTTATAAAAAACATCAGGGCACAAAAAGGTGTAAAGACATGTTTTTACTTCATACATGTGTTGTTTTTGTGTGTAGGGGATGGAGGTTTGATGGTGGAGGGAAGGTCAGGATAGATTTCAGAGACTCGTCCATTTTCTAAAGTGGAGAGTAGATTAGATCCAGTCGACAAGAGCTAATGACTGACAGGAAGCATTAGCATTAGCCTCTTTAGCTACTGTAGTTATCAGGGTGATGCTCTCAGCCAATTAGCAGCCTGCTTTCTCCTCGTTTACTCTCACACACTTTTACGCTGCTATGGACATCTTGCACTAATGCACATTTCTCAAAGATATTGAAGTGACTGTTATTTAGTATATATTGATTGCTGTGCTTTTATTTAGATCTTAATGTGTGCATATGTGATTGTGTATATATATATATATATATATGGGTATATATTTATATATATGTATTTTGTATTCGGGATTGTGGGAAACGGTATTTCGATCTCTTTGTCTGTACACACAAACTGAAAGATTGACAAAAAAGTTGACTTAGACACACACACACACATATTGTGTAAAAAAAACATATTTATTTTGTATTAAAAGCAGAGATGGTAAAAGTACACACATCCTTTACTCAAGTAGAAGTACAGATACTCGTGTTTAAAAATACTCTGGTAAAAGTAGAAGTACTGGCTAAACTTCTTTACTCAAGTCAAAGTAAAGAGGGCTTTGAAATGTACTTCAGTAAAAAGTACCCATAACTAGCAGCTGTTTTAAAGAGTACCTGACCTCCCTTTATATTAATAGAACAATAATGTCATTGTTAGCTAATGAATGTTTCCATGCTGAACAACGGCAACATGACAACGTTTTCATTGGTCCCTCTTCTTTAGAGAAGACCAGGAAATGATGGATACACGGATCGTGTTCAAATCAATAGGCACGCAATGACTCTAAATAATAATGATCACGCCACCAGACACACATTCAAACTAAAGGAACCAGCCTGTTTGGAAAATGTGAGAAGTAGAAAGTACAGGTATTAGGGTTCAACATGTAAGAAGTAGAAAGTACAGGTATTAGGGTTCAACATGTAAGAAGTAGAAAGTACAGGTATTTGAGTTCAACATGTAAGAAGTAGAAAGTACAGGTATTTGTGTTCAACATGTAAGAAGTAGAAAGTACAGGTATTTGTGTTCAACATGTAAGAAGTAGAAAGTACAGGTATTTGGGTTCAACATGTAAGAAGTAGAAAGTACAGGTATTTGTGTTCAACATGTAAGAAGTAGAAAGTACAGGTATTTGTGTTCAAAATGTAAGAAGTAGAAAGTACAGGTATTTGTGTTCAACATGTAAGAAGTACTGATACCAGAAAAATGTACTTAAGTACAGTAACAAAGTATTTGTACTCCACTACTTCCCCCCTCTGATTGAAAGTGTCCTTCTTCTTCTTCTCTCTCTTCAGGCCATCATGACTAAAGAGGAGAATCTGGAGGTGCAGGAAAAGGAGAGGCACGACCGCGAAGAGCAGGAGGAAGGAAAGGTCAACAAAGAGGAAGAGGAGGAGGCGCTGACCGAGGAGGAGGAAGAGGAGGAAGAGGAGTATGAGCTAGGAGAGCAGAGGGAGCTGGAGGAGAGGGCTGGGGTGGATGAAGAGGAGGAGGAAGAGCCAGAGGAGAGAGAGGAGGAGAGAGAGGAGGAGGTTCCAGCTGGTGATGAAGAGCGTGAAGTGGAGCCCGAGCCTCTGTCCGTGTCTCAGTTTCAGAGTCCGGTTCACGAGCCCCGCAGAAGACCCATAGTGCATCACTCCGCCCAGGCCCCGCTGCCCAAAGACTACAGTACGTCATACCACCTTAAATACACACTGTCATACCACCTTAAATTAAGAACAGCTTGAATATATACTGCCATATCACCTTAAATACACATCATCTTGAATACTGTCATACCACCTTAAATACACATCATCTTAGGTATATACTGTCATACCACCTTAAATATATACTGTCATACCACCTTAAATACACATCATCTTAGGTATATACTGTCATACCACCTTAAATATATACTGTCATACCACCTTAAATATATACTGTCATACCACCTTAAATGCACATCATCTTACCTATACACTGTCATACCACCTTAAATATACACTGTCATACCACCTTAAATACACATCATCTTAGATATATACTGTCATACCACCTTAAATATATACTGTCATACCACCTTAAATACACATCATCTTACCTATACACTGTCATACCACCTTAAATATACACTGTCATACCACCTTAAATACACATCATCTTAGATATATACTGTCATACCACCTTAAATACACATCATCTTAGATATATACTGTCATACCACCTTAAATACACATCATCTTAGATATATACTGTCATACCACCTTAAATACACATCATCTTAAATATATACTGTCATACCACCTTAAATACACATCATCTTAGATATATACTGTCATACCACCTTTAAATACACATCTATACCTTAAATATATTACTGTCATACCACCTTAAATACACATCATCTTAGATATATACTGTCATACCACCTTAAATACACATCATCTTAGATATATACTGTCATACCACCTTAAATACACATCATCTTAGATATATACTGTCATACCACCTTAAATACACATCATCTTAAATATATACTGTCATACCACCTTAAATACACATCATCTTAAATATATACTGTCATACCACCTTAAATACACATCATCTTAAATATATACTGTCATACCACCTTAAATACACATCATCTTAGATATATACTGTCATACCACCTTAAATACACATCATCTTAAATACATACTGTCATACCACCTTAAATTAAGAACAGCTTGAATATATACTGCCATATCACCTTAAATACACATCATTTTGAATACTGTCATACCACCTTAAATACACATCATCTTAGGTATATACTGTCATACCACCTTAAATATATACTGTCATACCACCTTAAATGCACATCATCTTACCTATACACTGTCATAACACCTTAAATATACACTGTCATACCACCTTAAATACACATCATCTTAGATATATACTGTCATACCACCTTAAATACACATCATCTTAAATATATACTGTCATACCACCTTAAATACACATCATCTTAGATATATACTGTCATACCACCTTAAATACACATCATCTTAAATATATACTGTCATACCACCTTAAATACACATCATCTTAGATATATACTGTCATACCACCTTAAATACACATCATCTTAGATATATACTGTCATACCACCTTAAATACACATCATCTTAGATATATACTGTCATACCACCTTAAATACACATCATCTTAGATATATACTGTCATACCACCTTAAATACACATCATCTTAGATATATACTGTCATACCACCTTAAATACACATCATCTTAGATATATACTGTCATACCACCTTAAATACACATCATCTTAAATATATACTGTCATACCACCTTAAATATACATCATCTTAAATACATACTCTCCAGGTATCCTTTACCTGAGGACTAAATACACACATTCATACCACCTAAAATAAATGATGTCATACCACCTTAAGAATAGACTATCATACCACATTAAATACAAACGTTAATAGCACCTTAAAGATCAAATATGTAACATTTCCACGTGTTTAAAAACAATTAAACCCTGGCTAAATCATCAGTAATTCACTTCAGTTATATATTGTAGACTATGGTTTTGGTCAGTTCAGAGTTCGGCCTGTAATTAGCATAAATCCTTTAAAAAACAAACTACACAGCTTCAAAACCCTTAAAACACACACACGCACACGCACACGCACGCACACACACACACACACACACACACACACACACACACACACACACACACACACACACACACACACACACACACACACACACACACACACACACACACATACCATGAATACATCACTTCCGGGGACATTACATTGACTTACATGCATTTCCTGGAGACTTATCCTAACCCTAACCAAGTATTCACCCTAAAATTAATGATTCCCATGATGTCCCCATAAGGGAGGCAAGTCCCCACACGTGACTGTGTAAACAGATTTAGGTCCCCACAAGGATAGTAATGCTAGGACACACACACACACACACACACACACACACACACACACACACACACACACACACACACACACACACACACACACACACACAGAGAAGCATAACATGATAATGAAACTGAGTCACAGTCTGTATTCGAGACAGCGTTGATTGATCAGAAGCTTTTAAAAATCTCTGGATTGACTTCTGTTTGGAGGACAGGCTCTTTAATATTCATCTCACACACTCAGCTCCATTATCCAGCAGACACACACTCTCCTGTCTGCATGTTTAACTGGGAGTTTTTACACAAACTCACTTACTAATATTATGAAGGGAAGATATCTGATGCCATCAAACTGCATCTTCCTAAAACCTGCACTAGCCAATAGAAGCCCGAGTGTTTCATGGTGATGTCACTATGTTATGGAAGTAAACAAAGGAGCCTTTGCAGACCATTTACATGCACACACACCTACATAACACACTACAGGAAAATTACATGAATGCACACAATGTACATAATATCTGTTTTTTGTTATTACTGCACATATTTTATTCCATTCTATTTCTATGTAAATATTTGTTATTATAATTTTGTATGTTATTATAGTTTTCTTCAAAAAGTTTTCTATCTGTGTTTTAAAAATGTTTTTAACTTTTATGTAAGCACCACAACATCAAGTCAAATTCCTCGTACGTGTCAACCTACCTGGTGATAAACCTGTTCCTGATTCTGATTCTGAAGACTAACTTAAAATAACTGCCATGTGTGATAAACGAATAAACACATGTTTCCCTCCCCTCGTCTTCAGGCTTCACCTTCTTCGACCCGAACGACCCGGCCTGCCTGGAGATCCTGATGGATCCTCAGACCTCCATCCCTGAGCTGTTTGCCATCGTGAGGCAGTGGGTTCCTCAAGTTCAGCACAAGATCGACATCATCGGGAACGAGGTGAGCTGTTGGGAAAATACTGAATGTCCTCTTCCAATATCAGAGTCCACATGATAACAAAGGTATCCCAACTGTAGCTGTGTGCATGACAGGATGTATGATTACCTAGAAGAGCATCAGGACTGTTTGAGGCATATGATAGCTATGTGATTAACATGATGATTCAGCCTCTATGGAGAGAGACATATGACAAGCATGATCATTTCTGACGTGGAGCTAATCTGAAGTAAACATTGAATACTGCTTTCTATTCCTCCATCTTGTGACTGTGCAACTCCCTCTCTTGGATATCAGCATGTGAAGGACACTGTTCAGGAACTAGTTGATGCTCTGTATGTGATGACTACTTCCATTCTGGAGAGGATCACAGATACATGGATCCTGAGATTGAAGCTCTGTACAAACTTAAGCATTATCAAATTTATAAACAAAAATATTATTGACATACAAATTATATATAAACAAATGATCTACCTAATTACACATCCGAAACGGACTTTCAGTTACTGTATATCTTAGAAAATAAGCTAATGCTAAAGAAAAAAATGAAAATAACAGGCGTCCATATTTATTATCTTCCATCAAAAAAAACAATTTTCACTTTAAAATGTGACGGTTTACCTGCTGAATATCATCATTTAGTCACAAATAAATGGGAGGTGAGTCCCCACAATGTCAGTAATGCAATGACACACACACACACACACACACACACACACACACACACACACACACACACACACACACACACACACACACACACACATACCATGTATCAGGGGCGTCGCCTGGACCTGAAAACATTCGGGGCTTAGCCCACAGTGGCGGCGGCACTACAGTGGCATTTTTCACTGCAACACTCCCCACACGCACACACACAGTACACCCGCGACTGTTACAATGAAGGCTCGATAATCAGCTCACGGCATATAGGCAGGGGTAAAGTGGTATTTTTTATGAGTGGGGGGCTCACCTCCTCTAGGGGGGTCCGGGGGGATGCTCCCCCGGAAGATTTTTTTTTAAATATTGAAGTTAAATGCATCAATCTGGTGCACTTTGAGAGCAAAATGAAGAGATCTATCGATACCTCTCTCAACACCCATATGAAGCAGAACTGTAAACAGATGTACTTTTTCTTTATGGATATTTTACTAATCACTCCCCTTTTAAACTCTATTCTTGTTTTACTGCCATATAGTATTTCATAACTGTTTTTCCTTTATTCTCTTTTTTTTATAACTATAATGATCATATGAAGGTGTGCCGCAGAAATAATCTTTTGAATAATTTGTGACCAAACCGTTAGAGACCCACTGAGATAACTTAGACTAAAGTTATGTATCTAAACACTCAGAGAGTCCTTTAGCTCACCTGAGTCTCTCAGTCTGAGAGGAGAGGACTCTCCTCCAGCTTCTTGTGGAACAAACAGCTCCTTATGTCCGTTAGTGCAGCTAGCTAACCAGATGCTAACAACACGGTCCATGCTGACACCGGTCCCTCCCTCCCCCTCTCTCCCTCTCTCCCCCTCTCCCTCTCTCTCTCTCTATCACACTAAATGCGCTATTGCCACACACACACAGAGACGAGCTTGAATGACACAAGCACACGTTTATTTCCATGCAACTCTCTGATTGGTCTGGTGTCATGCCTCTGTTGCATTCACTGAACACGGGAAATTACAGTGCTGCCGTCCTCTCTTGTGTCATGATGAGGATCTCGTAAAGCACGGTTAATGTATTATATTATTGAGGGAGAATTGTCCGGGGCTACAGAAAAAACATCCGGGGCTAAAGCCCCGGATGCCCAGGCCAGGCGACGCCACTGCCATGTATACATCACTTCAGGGGACATTACATTGACTTACATGAATTTCCTGGACACTTATCCTAACCTTAACCATAACCAACACATGCCTAACCCTAACCATTACCCTTAACATTACCCTTACCCTAACCAAGTCTTCACCCTAAAATTAATGATTCCCATGATGTCCCCATAAGGGAGGCAAGTCCCCACACGTGACTGTGTAAACAGATTTAAGTCCCCACAAGGATAGTAATGCTAAGCCACACACACACACACACACACACACACACACACACACACACACACACACACACACACACACACACACACACACACACACACACACAGGAAGGCAGTAAGTGTGACAGGACACTTTACCCAAGGCAGCTTAACAATAAGTACATGAAGAAACAGATGCAGACCTTCATGTTTGTTATTGTTGTTGTTGTTGTCTCAGATCCTGAAACGCGGTTGCCATGTGAACGACCGAGACGGTTTGACGGACATGACGCTGCTGCACTACAGCTGCAAGGCCGGGGCGCATGGAGTCGGTGAGGAGAACATTTAATTGAGAAGTTCAGTAGAAGTTGATCCGTGAAAGTAGACCAGAAATAAACTGATAATACCAGCAAATTGAGCATGCTTAGCAAATGCATGATAGAGGATGTATCCATATCGTTTTCTACATTAAAAGTAATGTCTCTTCCTCCTCCTCTTCCTCCTCCTCCTCCTCCTCCTCAGGTGACCCCGCCGCAGCGCTGCGTCTCAGTGCTCAGCTGATCTCTCTCGGTGCTGATGTGAGTCTGAGGAGTCGTTGGACGAACATGAACGCTCTGCACTACGCTGCGTACTTTGATGTTCCAGAACTGATCCGAGTGCTGCTGAAGGCCAGCAAGCCCAGAGGTACACACACACACACACACACACACACACACACATACACACACACACACACACACACACACACACACACACACACACACACACACATGCACAGACACACGCACAGACACACGCACAGACACATGCACACACGCACACACGCACACACGCACACACACACATACACACACACAGACACACACACACACACACGCACAGACACACACACACACACACACCACCACACATACACACACACACACACACACACACACACACACACACACACACACACACACACACACACACACACACACACACACATGCACAGACACACGCACAGACACACGCACAGACACACGCACAGACACACGCACAGACACACGCACACGCACACACGCACACACGCACACACGCACACACGCACACACACACATACACACACACAACAAACACACAACAACACACACACACACACACAGATGGACACACGCACAGACACACACACACGCGCACAGCCACACGCACACACACACACACACACACAACACAGACACACACCACACCACACACAACACACACACAACACACACACACTTTTTTGCTCAGTTTGTTTTTATTGATCCACGAAGCCGACTGTTGACCACTCAGTATGTTGTTGTTTCTTCTTCTGTGGTTTCTTCCACAGTGCTGAACTCCACCTGTAACGACTTCCACTACGGCACGGCTCTGCACATCGCCGCCTCCAACCTCTGCCTGGGAGCCGTGAAGTGTCTCCTGGAGCACGGAGCCAACCCCGTCCTCAGGGTGAAAACACTTTAACATATTATTATTTATCAACATTGACCTTTTATATATATCTTGTAGCTGCAATATTACTAATAAACTACGGCCCGCTGCCCTCAGAAACTCATGACACTTGTGCTAGTCATATATTATACTAATTAAATATATATATAACAATATATATATATCACAGTATTCATGTGTGCCCACTTTTCAAATAAATTCAATCAATTAAAGTTGGAAATATTTCAAACAAATCTTAGTGGATAAAATAACGTATTTACGTAACAAGCTTGAAATCTACCCTTTCTCTTTTTATAAATCTGAAGCTTCTGTTTTAAGGAATGAGCTGCTAACAGAATACATGAAACCCTCTGGAGAGCTGGGATGTAGGCTGTTGTGTTTCTTAACCAGTTAAGCCCTGAGCCTGTTTTTCAGGTTTCAGGCTCGAAAATGACATGCCCAAAACAAATGACTACAACTTCACTTCTAAAAGGGTTATATGAATAATTTCTTTTCTCAAAGCAAGGTTACATCTGTGAGTTGGATGTAGAAGTGTCAGAATCAATATAGATTTTTCTCAGTCAGAGTAAATTCAGATGGAACATAGCAAAAAAAGGTAAATTCTTACCTCCGCCTAAAGAAAAAACATTACTTATAGTGAAAACCACCCTTGAATGATGGGATGGTAGACTAAAAGCTTTAGGAATCCAAACTATAACATATAATAAGTACCCTGTATCAAGATTGAGGCAAAACAAATGAAATTTGACCTTTTTAGAGAGGTTTAGCAAAAAAAAGTTCCAGGCGGAATAAGCTTTGGGCACATTTGGGTACATCTGGTTCCATCAGTGCCATTTGACCTTTTTCAGGTACCAGACTATAAAAATGATGTATTACATTGAATTATCACCATAGGTATTCATTCCATCCAAAGAAAAACAATTAAAATAAAAAACATTAATAAAAAAAAAAGACCCGCCGACGGGGGCTTTGGGGCTTAACAGGTTAAAGCATGTTCAAGTATGAAGCTTAATTTACGCACATTTGATTCATTTTGCTAACTTATAACTTAACTGATAAGGCAGTATACCACCCTTCGTATTTATTTTACTGTATGTGGCCCTCGGTGAAAAAAGTGTGTACACCCCTGCATTAATCGATCATATGCCCATGATTCTGCTCATGTTTTGTGCAATAATCTGCTAAATCCACACTTTCTTAATGAATACGTCTCCTAAAAACCTCTGTCAGACATTAGTTGTGTTTCCATTTACCTATCTTTATGTACATTTTAAATTTGCTCATCATGTTTTGTGCAAGAATCTCCTAAATCCACACTTTCTCCCCCTCTCTCTGCAGAATGATAAGGGCCAGGTTCCCGGAGACGTGGTCCCCGACCCGGTGGACATGAGTCTGGATAAGGCCGAGGCGGCGATGGTGGCTAAAGATCTGAAGCAGATCCTATTGGACGCCGTGCCGCTGAGCTGCAACCTGCCCCGAGCCACGCTGCTCAACTACGACAACATCCCCGGGAACCTGATGCTCACCTCGCTGGGCCTGAAGCTGGGCGAGAGGGTGCTGCTGGAAGACATGAAGGTCAGAGGTCACACACGGGAGATTAGTCTGTGCTCAAAATGTCTTTTACTGACAATATGCATGCTTCTTGGTTAACACTAGCCTTTGGCTCTTTTCCCCTCTGTGGGACGGATACAGGTATTCTGATTCTGATTATATTGTCAGTAAAATACTTTTTGAGCATATAACATTAAAATGTTACTGGTATTTTAAAGCAAAAATAGAAGAAGAAGTTTCCAAATACCGCGAAATAATCTGTGACGCGTTTGTGTGTATTGTGTTTGTTTCCCGGGGGAAACACTCACAAGAAACATCGACTGTTCTTATGCCTGCTGTGACGTTACGTTGCCGCTTGTAATTATGCCGTTACAAGCTTAAAGGTTGTATTTATCATCTGAATTTAGCGAAACAAGTTTAATAATCTAAAAACCAAGACTGTGTTTATTTGAAATCAGATGAAAACAAACTGTCACGGACCCTGCCGTGTTATCTATGATTACTATACGCTTTTCATTCATAATGTCAGCGGGAGGGAGGGGGGGCGGCGCTGAGGAACAGCAGAGTGCGGGTTGACAGGTGTCTGTGTTGACACTCCCCTTATTGTGCGTCAGCAGAGGCTACAAGTGTCTTAGGTTCAAGTTAGACGACTAATGTCTGGGTTAGTGTTCATGACTTCATGTTTATGTCATCTTAATGGTTCATCTCAATGCACACACATTTTCCGTGCTTTCCAATAGTTTAAAATAGTTTATTCCACTGTTAAATAACCTGTTCAATACAAACATGCCACTTGTAAAAATTAAATAACATTTCTGTGAACTGATATTTGTTTAGTGAGCTTATTAGAGGATGTTCCCTGAATGATTGTAAAATGTCAATGAAGATGTCAGACTTATTATATTTGTTAATAATTACATACAATACATGGAATGTGTGTGTGTGTGTGTGTGTGTGTGTGTGTGTGGTGTGTGTGTGTGTGTGTGTGTGTGTGTGTGTGTGTGTGTGTGTGTGTGTGTGTGTGTGTGTGTGTGTGTGTGTGTGTTCCAAGTGAATCTGCGGCCCCCTGGTTGCCAGTACATACATTATGTGGCCCCCACCACCATCCAAGTTGCCCATCCCTGCTCTAAATCAACCTCATTAAGGAAAGATTGTCAAGTTAGGTGAAGGTCAGAGGTCACTGAGGAACACAGGATAGTAGGTCTGTGCTCAACATGTATTTTACTGAGAGGAGAGACAAAAGGGAAGCTGATATTTTAAAGTAAAAATAGGAAAGACAACCAGTTCCCGAAGATATACAAATAAAAACGATTAAAACAATAAATATGAGTATCAAAAGTATGTGAGAGGGTGCTGCTGGACGACATGAAGGTATTAGGGCTCAACATGTCTTTTACTGACAATATAATCAAATGTGTTACTGGTATTTTAAGAAAAACAAAAAGAAAACAACCAGTTCCCAATGACATAAAAATACACTGAATAAAATGAAACGTTGACTTTAATTAAATGTATTATGTCGACACATTTAACATAACTGTTCTAGGTTTTGATTGACAAAAATAATATAATATATTCATACTTTTTATTTAACCTTCACATTATTGCTTTCAGCTGAGCCATAGTTGCCCGTGATTTAAAAAAACGTGGCATTAGCTTGAAATCGTTCAATGAGTAAGTTCCTGTTCACAGTTTGAATGTCATGTACATCACTTCATCAGCATTCGGCTTGAATATCTGCTGTTAATCGGGAGCAACATTTTCTTTACTATTCTCTCTTCACAGGTCCGCACCACTTGGGTTACCAGAAATACACCCAGAAAGTGTGAACAGCCCTCCAGATTGTACATGTTCTCAAAGTGTTCAGTTCTGTGTGCACGCTGTTTTCAGAACATGTTTCACAAATTATCCATATGCAAAGTGGTGGAGGTGACACAATTGGACATTTCCAAAAGTGGTGTCCCCCAGTATTAATGACGCCAATAGAGCGGTGCAGGGATGATGTATTTTTGTAGGTCGACCAGGAAGTAAGCTGCTCAAGGGTTCCTTCGACAAAAAGCAACAATCTTTTGTCTCCATAGGATTTTGGAATATTGTAAAAAATAAGGTCTGTGGAAAAGGAACCTGTTTGATAAATGCACGTTTTGTTCAGCCGGATAATCTCCACATGTCTGCCCTACTTTTATAATGTTAGAATCATAAATCTAATGTCCAGAAGCAACATGCTAACGTTATGCTATAAAGGAACTACAGGCGAGTCCAGCAGCACGACTTCAACGTCACGCCAACTTAAGATCCATATTCAAACACACAGATTCTAAATGGTACGAGTTGAAGTGTTTGTTTGAACAGTCTGCAGGAGGCAGGTACTTGCTTTCAAGCAGAACAGGGCAAACTAACTTAGAGGAGTGTTTACGTGTTCGGCGTAATGACGTACAACGGCCTCCACAACTTCTGTAGTCCTATTCAGCCACTTGGTAACAACCATCGTTTTTCAGACACGTCAACTCTTCAGAAATCACCAGTGGGGTCACTGCTGATGGATTTAATGTCCTAGAACAAAACGTGATCCGTCTCTTCAATGTGTCTCAACCACAGACCTTATTTCCAGATATTATCCAACATCCTATGGAGAGATCCCATTGGCTCTGAGACGAGGGAACAGGAAGTGGGGAAATGCTGACTCACTTCTGGGTTTTAGGACTCGTCACTGCACCACTCTATGATTGCTGGTGTTCCCTTCCTGCAGGAGAGAGTAAAGTGGGGATTGTTTAGTGTGATGGCTGTGTGTCCTCCACCCCCCTGTCTGAGCTCTTTATGTCCTCACTGTGCAGCTCCAGAGAGACCTGAGCAGAGACGACAGCCCGGCGAAAAACCTCCGACAGGTCGGTCAAACCGGGGCAGAAACAAAGTCTAACTCACTGACTGACTCATTTAAAGGGCTCCTATCATGCAAAATGCACTTTTTGATGTCTTTATATACATGGATATGTGTCCCCGGTGTGTCAGGAGACTCACAAAGTGAAAAAAAACCCTCTCTTTTCCTCCGTACCCAAATCTCTAAAAACAGGGGAACAACGGACCTGATCCAGATTTGCGTCCGATATGACGTAATATCTGAAATGTGGGCGGGCTTTACACCCACGGCCCTATCAGAAACAATGCCTGACTGTTTTGGACGTAATATGGTCTTTGTTTACATTATCAAGCATCGCTAACACTCAGAGCTAACCTGTACATTTTTTGTGTGGCCAAAATCTGATCAGCTGATTTTCAGACAGGTTTTTATATAAATGGATCAGGACAAAAAGAGAGAGAATCTTTGTTCCTGAAACTTTCAGAGTCTCTTTCCACAGAGGGGACACATGTTGATGAAGAAGAGGGGACACATGTTGATGTAGAAGAGACATGAAGAAGAGGCGACACATGTTGATGTAGAAGAGACATGAAGAAGAGGGGACACATGTTGATGTAGAAGAGACATGAAGAAGAGGGGACACATGTTGATGTAGAAGAGACATGAAGAAGAGGGGACACATGTTGATGAAGAAGAGACATGAAGAAAAGGGGACACATGTTGATGTAGAAGAGACATGAAGAAGAGGGGACACATGTTGATGTAGAAGAGACATGAAGAAGAGGGGACACATGGTGATGTAGAAGAGACATGAAGAAGAGGGGACACATGTTGATGTAGAAGAGACATGAAGAAGAGGGGACACATGTTGATGTAGAAGAGACATGAAGAAGAGGGGACACATGGTGATGTAGAAGAGACATGAAGAAGAGGGGACACATGTTGATGTAGAAGAGACATGGAGAAGAGGGGACACATGTTGATGTAGAAGAGACATGAAGAAGAGGGGACACATGTTGATGTAGAAGAGACATGAAGAAGAGGGGACACATGGTGATGTAGAAGAGACATGAAGAAGAGGGGACACATGTTGATGTAGAAGAGACATGGAGAAGAGGGGACACATGTTGATGTAGAAGAGACATGAAGAAGAGGGGACACATGTTGATGTAGAAGAGACATGAAGAAGTGGATTTTGCAGAATAGGTGACCTTTAAACAGCAGGTACGGTGTTCCTCTGCAGTCTTGTTTCCATCCTAACTCAGGTGTGTGTGTCTCTCAGGCCGGCACTCTGAGGTTCTGCGGCACCACAGAGTTCGCCAGCGGTCAGTGGGTCGGCGTGGAGCTGGACGAGCCGGAGGGGAAGAACGACGGCAGCGTAGGGGGCGTCAGATACTTCATCTGCCCTCCAAAACTAGGTACAACTGCTTCTTCATGCAGGATGATAGGATTAACAAAGATAGTAACAATGTTCTATAATAACCAGAGGTGGGAAGTATTGGAGTACAAATACTTTGTTACTGTACTTAAAGGTAGGGTAGGTAAGTTTGAGAAACCGGCTCGAGATACACTTGTTGTTATATTCCATGGAATGCTCTTAACATCCCGATAGCAATGAATATCTGAAGTGCTTTGACAAAAAATCCATAAAAAAATATCATCTGTGGAAGCCGTAGTACTGTAAAAAGCACGACCAATCATCTGAGCCGGCCCGGCTAAAATAACTGGATGGCCTACCTGCCTGTCAGCCTTCCATCTGTGCACAAACTTATCTTGTGCCCTCATTGGTCATGTGCGCGTTCGTGTGTGTTGGAGGAGGGGCTCTGTAAGGAAGGGGCAGATTTTCTCCGGTTGTGTATTTTCAAATTCTAGCGCACTCAAGCTGGTTTCTCAAACTTACCTACCTTTAAGTACATTTTTCTGGTATCAGTACTTTACTCCACTACTTATTTTTCTGACGACTTTTTACTTTGACTTCTTACATGTTGAACTCAAATACCTGTACTTTCTACTTCTTACATGTTGAACACAAATACCTGTACTTTCTACTTCTTACATGTTGAACTCAAATACCTGTACTTTCTACTTCTTACATGTTGAACACAATTTTATTTTTATTTTTTTATTTTTTAACCTTTATTTAACCAGATAAAAAACATTGAGATAAAATCTCAAATACCTGTACTTTCTACTTCTTCCAAACAGGCTGGTTCCTTTAGTTTGAATGTGTGTTTGGTGGCGTGATCATTATTATTTAGAGTCATTGCGTGTATCTTTACAGAATATGAATATGACCGTCTGTCCTTGGACCCTCACATCAGAGGGGGTCGTATTCATAACATGTGTGATATATAAATAAACGTTGATTGATTGATGATAGGACATTACATTACATTACATGTCATTTGTAAGACGCTTTTATCCAAAGTGACTTACATACATTCAATACTGTGGATAATCCCCACAGGAGCAATTTGGGGTGAAGTGTCTCAGGGACACAACGACATGCTGACTGCAGTGGGACTCGAACTTGCTATCCCCTGATTCGAAGTCCATCATACTATCCACTGAGCCACAGCCTCCCTAGGATTAACATGCATGCTGCTGCAAGACTGTTAACCAGGTCAAGCAGGATGACACACATTACACCAATTTAAAAATCCTTACATTGGCTCCCCACCCGTTTTAGAATTGACTTTAAGGTTCTGGTTATTACACATAGAGCCCTGCGTGGAAATGCACCGGAGTATATATGTGACCTTCTCCATCCTTACATCGCCAGTAGGTCCCTTAGGTCTTCAGACCAGGAACTACTGGCTGTCCCACGGTCTCGTCTAAAAACTAAAGGTGGCCGTGCCTTTCAGGTGGAGCTCCAACACGGTGGAAATTCTCCCTACAGTCAGTCTCTGTAGAAGCTTTTAAAAAACTACTGAAGACCCTTTTTTTTACATTGGCTTATGTTCCTACTTGAGATGTGTGTGATGTGTTCTGTTTTTATGTTTGTTCCTTTCGGGACTCTGTGTTTTGTTTTTATGTTGACCTTAAATGTCTGCCTCATGTTGTTTTTGTATTCATGTTTCTGTGGTCTTCATTTGAGCTTTTGTTCTTACTTGTGAAGGACTTTGTGAAAAACATTTCTTTTGCGAATCTTTTCCGCTTGCAGGGATTTTTGCCCCGGTGTCGAAGATTTCCAAAGCCGTGGATCCGGCCCCGTCCTCGGTCACCTCGACGCCCCGGACCCCCCGCATGGACCTGACCTCCCGTCTGACCGGGAAGATCAAGAAGGAGAAAGGGAAGAAGGACAAAGAGAGGCAGAAAGGTATTTAAGTTTTGCAGAGGTGGGAAGTAGTGGAGAACAAATACTTACTTACTTAAGTACATTTTTCTGGTCTCAGTACTTTACTCCACTACTTATTTATCTGACGACTTTTTACTTTGACTTCTTACATTTTGAACACAAATACCTGTACTTTCTACTTCTTACATGTTGAACACAAATACCTGTACTTTCTACTTCTTACATGTTGAACACAAATACCTGTACTTTCTACTTCTTACATGTTGAACACAAATACCTGTACTTTCTACTTCTTACATGTTGAACACAAATACCTGTACTTTCTACTTCTTACATGTTGAACACAAATACCTGTACTTTCTACTTCTTACATGTTGAACACAAATACCTGTACTTTCTACTTCTTACATTTTGAACACAAATACCTGAACTTTCTACTTCTTACATTTCTAACACAAATACCTGTACTTTCTACTTCTTACATGTTGAACACAAATACCTGTACTTTCTACTTCTTACATGTTGAACACAAATACCTGTACTTTCTACTTCTTACATGTTGAACACAAATACCTGTACTTTCTACTTCTTACATTTTGAACACAAATACCTGTACTTTCTACTTCTTACATTTCTAACACAAATACCTGTACTTTCTACTTCTTACACTTTGAACACAAATACCTGTACTTTCTACTTCTTACATGTTGAACACAAATACCTGTACTTTCTACTTCTTACATGTTGAACACAAATACCTGTACTTTCTACTTCTCACATTTTGAACACAAATACCTGTACTTTCTACTTCTTACATGTTGAACACTAATACCTGTACTTTCTACTTCTTACATGTTGAACCCAAATACCTGTACTTTCTACTTGTCACATTTCCCAAACAGGCTGGTTCCTTTAGTTTGAATGTGTGTTTGGTGGCGTGATCATTATTCTTTAGAGTCATTGCGTGCCTATTGATTTGAACACGATCCGTGTATCCATCATTTCCTGGTCTTCTCTAAAGAAGAGGGACCAATGAAAACGTTGTCATGTTGCCGTTGTTCAGCATGGAAACATTCATTAGCTAACAATGACATTATTGTTCTATTAATATAAAGGGAGGTCAGGTACTCTTTAAAACAGCTGCTAGTTATGGGTACTTTTTACTGAAGTACATTTCAAAGCCCTCTTTACTTTTACTTGAGTAAAGAAGTTTAGTCAGTACTTCTACTTTCACCAGAGTATTTTTAAACACGAGTATCTGTACTTCTACTCGAGTAAAGGATGTGTACTTTCTCCCTCTCTGGCAGTCTGTACTCACCAGTCTAATGTGAAAAGTGCTAAGGTTGTGTAACTTGGAGCTGCTTCAGTAAATTCTGGTTAAGATAAGAAGTACTTTATTGATCCCAATTTGGGAAATGTTTGCGTTGCAGCAGCATAAAAAGACATGGCATCGTACAATACAAAATTAAAAGACTAGAAATAAACAATCCAAAATGTAAACATCTCTATAGAAATAAAATAGCATTAAAAATATATATATATACATTTTAATATACGTTGAATTACAAATTGACAGTAACAAAATATAAAGCAGGATATTTTATATGCGTGAGTATGTGAGGAATGGAATATTAAATATTAGATTTAATTTGGTTGCAGGGAGAGAAGAAAATGGGCAACCAATTACTAACAAGGAAATACACAAATTTTCCATTTCCACTGCAGCGCGTAGCACGGTTTAAGCGTGCCGTGCCAAACCCGGCCCGTTTTTGGTTGCGTTTCCACTAGGCGTAGTTCCGGCTAACGGGTACTTTTTCACAGTTTTTCTGGCCCTCCAAAATCGTGGTTCTTTCCGGGCCAACAACCGGGCTGAATAAGCTAAACTAGTGAGAGAATCGCTGGCAAGGGGGCTACAACTACAACAAGATGGACATATTTGACCGTGATTTAATTGTAATACACGTTTCAAAATGATGCCGAAGTAACAACATACTGATACCGGTTAGTAAAAACCATGAATTAATGCTTTGACAAGTCTGCAGACAGACGGAAGGCGAAAAACCTTTTAAAATGCGTGTTTTCTAAATGGAGATTGGCTAAGCTAACGCAGTATATGCTCCGACCGTCCACACTCACAACAACGGCCTATACAGACATAAATAAAGCAGCGACTGTATTCACCATGACACAGGCAGTCTGTGGTTTGTACTTGTTTAACTTTTGTCTAGTTTCTGAACAGATATGAGGAGCTGTGAGCTCTGAGTGCTAACAGCTAACGGCTGATGTTGGTTTTGTGGTTCGCATTGAAGATGGCGTCACGGCTCCGCCTACACTGCGTTACTATAGTTACTGCCCCAGCTACTAAACTGTAATGGAAACGCAGCATAAAGTGAGCCTGGCCTACCAAGGCCTAACTATTCCGTACTAAGCCGTGTGAGGCCCTGCAGTGGAAATGCGCCAAAAGTTGCCTCTTCTTCTTCTTCTTCTTCTACTAATCCCCTGATTTCTGCCGTGTTTTCCAGCCCAGAAGAAGAAGGCGTCGCTGGCCAGTCTGGACCCGGACGCTCTGAACGTGGAGGTGGGGGATCAGGTTCTTGTTGCCGGGCAGAAACACGGCATCGTTCGTTACTACGGGAAAACAGACTTCGCTCCAGGTCTGAATCTGAGCTTTATCCTGCAGACTGGGAGATAGAGACACTGTTTAAGATAACAACATGTGTTTGCATGTATATTCAAAATAGTGAGTTTAAAATCCTCAATAATTGGACAAAAAACTGGCTATTGTCAGAAAAAATGCTACTATGCTATGTTAAAATGCATTTGATAAGTTACTGCCTTAATAAAAATAATCTAATATTATATAAAAGCAACATCAGTGGAAACGCAGGACTTTTACTTGAAGCTAAATGTTTTTTTAATGACATTAAATCACATTTAGCTGAGGCTTTAATCCAAAAAGTCTCTTTCTTCAGTCCTGAGCAGCTTTTCCTCCCTCAGATCAGATCTCAGTTTCTCTCTGTCTCTCTGCAGGTTATTGGTTCGGTGTCGAGTTGGATCAGGCGACAGGAAAACACGACGGCTCGGTTTTTGGAGTCCGGTACTTCAGCTGCCTGCCGAAATACGGAGTGTTTGCTCCACCATCCCGCGTCCAGAGGTGAGACGCCACGAAATCCTAAAGTATAAGACTCAAATATATATATATAATAATATAGGGTGCTATTCTTACTTCTGGAGTTCACCCACACTTCTATTTGCTAGCGCTTCAACAACATCAGCAGGAGAGGACTCTTTAAAGTAGAGACACTACATACTGATATACACCTGAACATCAGCTGGAGAGGACTCTTTAAAGTAGAGACACTACATACTGATATACACCTGAACATCAGCTGGAGAGGACTCTTTAAAGTAGAGACACTACATACTGATATACACCTGAACATCAGCAGGAGAGGACTCTTTAAAGTAGAGACACTACATACTGATATACACCTGAACATCAGCAGGAGAGGACTCTTTAAAGTAGAGACACTACATACTGATATACACCTGAACATCAGCAGGAGAGGACTCTTTAAAGTAGAGACACTACATACTGATATACACCTGAACATCAGCAGGAGAGGACTCTTTAAAGTAGAGACACTACATACTGATATACACCTGAACATCAGCAGGAGAGGACTCTTTAAAGTAGAGTCACTACATACTGATATACACCTGAACATCAGCAGGAGAGGACTCTTTAAAGTAGAGACACTACATACTGATATACACCTGAACATCAGCAGGAGAGGACTCTTTAAAGTAGAGACACTACATACTGATATACACCTGAACATCAGCAGGAGAGGACTCTTTAAAGTAGAGACACTACATACTGATATACACCTGAACATCAGCAGGAGAGGACTCTTTAAAGTAGAGACACTACATACTAATATACACCTGAACATCAGCAGGAGAGGACTCTTTAAAGTAGAGACACTACATACTGACATACACCTGAACATCAGCAGGAGAGGACTCTTTAAAGTAGAGTCACTACATACTGATATACACCTGAACATCAGCAGGAGAGGACTCTTTAAAGTAGAGACACTACATACTAATATACACCTGAACATCAGCAGGAGAGGACTCTTTAAAGTAGAGACACTACATACTGATATACACCTGAACATCATCAGGAGAGGACTCTTTAAAGTAGAGACACTACATACTGATATACACCTGAACGTCAGCAGGAGAGGACTCTTTAAAGTAGAGACACTACATACTGATATACACCTGAACATCAGCAGGAGAGGACTCTTTAAAGTAGAGACACTACATACTGATATACACCTGAACGTCAGCAGGAGAGGACTCTTTAAAGTAGAGACACTACATACTGATATACACCTGAACATCAGCAGGAGAGGACTCTTTAAAGTAGATACACTACATACTGATATACACCTGAACATCAGCAGGAGAGGACTCTTTTTAACGTTTTTTATATCTAATTCACTCCTACTTGATCCAAATTCTTTAGTAAATTGATTGTTTGTTGCTCTTTCAGAATCGGAGGTCCCAAAGAAGGCTCACAGAATGAAAAGTCCACGGTGAAGAAAGTCCACCAAGTCACCAGTAAGTGTTTTTTCATTTTCTTAAAGTTAAGTCACCTACAGCTACTTTTCTGACGACATTAATACGAGTTTAACATTTCCTCCATCAGTTATAATAACATGTAGCTGACGTTGTTTTTAAAGTGTGCTATATAGATGAAATGTATTATTATTATTATTATTAATTTGTTTGTTTGGTTGTTTGTTTCCTGCAGTGTCGCAGCCGAAGCGTAACTTCAACACGATGCGAAATCCTAAAGATCTGACCTCCGAGAACTCAATATCCAGGTATGAATACTGCCTGGAAATATTGTCCATATCCAGGTACAAATACTGGAAATATTATCCATATCCAGGTATGAATACTGCCTGGAAATATTATCCATATCCAGGTACAAATACTCTCTGGAAATATTATCCATATCCAGGTACAAATACTGGAAATATTATCCATATCCAGGTACAAATACTGTCTGGAAATATTATCCATATCCAGGTACGAATACTGGAAATATTATCCATATCCAGGTACAAATACTGGAAATATTATCCATATCCAGGTACAAACACTGTCTGGAAATATTGTCCATATCCAGGTACAAATACTGGAAATATTATCCATATCCAGGTACAAACACTGGAAATATTGTCCATATCCAGGTACAAATACTCTCTGGAAATATTATCCATATCCAGGTACAAATACTCTCTGGAAATATTATCCATATCCAGGTACGAATACTGGAAATATTATCCATATCCAGGTACAAATACTGGAAATATTATCCATATCCAGGTACAAATACTGGAAATATTATCCATATCCAGGTACAAACACTGTCTGGAAATATTATCCATATCCAGGTACGAATACTGGAAATATTGTCCATATCCAGGTACAAATACTGTCTGGAAATATTATCCATATCCAGGTACAAATACTGTCTGGAAATATTATCCATATCCAGGTACAAATACTGTCTGGAAATATTATCCATATCCAGGTACAAACACTGTCTGGAAATATTGTCCATATCCAGGTACAAATACTGTCTGGAAATATTATCCATATCCAGGTACAAATACTGTCTGGAAATATTATCCATATCCAGGTACAAACACTGTCTGGAAATATTATCCATATCCAGGTACAAATACTGTCTGGAAATATTATCCATATCCAGGTACGAATACTGGAAATATTGTCCATATCCAGGTACAAATACTCTCTGGAAATATTATCCATATCCAGGTACAAATACTGTCTGGAAATATTATCCATATCCAGGTACGAATACTGGAAATATTGTCCATATCCAGGTACAAATACTCTCTGGAAATATTATCCATATCCAGGTACAAATACTGTCTGGAAATATTATCCATATCCAGGTACAAATACTGGAAATATTGTCCATATCCAGGTACAAATACTCTCTGGAAATATTATCCATATCCAGGTACAAATACTCTCTGGAAATATTATCCATATCCAGGTACAAATACTGTCTGGAAATATTATCCATATCCAGGTACAAATACTCTCTGGAAATATTATCCATATCCAGGTACAAATACTGTCTGGAAATATTATCCATATCCAGGTACAAATACTGTCTGGAAATATTATCCATATCCAGGTACAAACACTGGAAATATTATCCATATCCAGGTACAAATACTGGAAATATTGTCCATATCCAGGTACAAATACTGTCTGGAAATATTATCCATATCCAGGTACAAATACTGTCTGGAAATATTATCCATATCCAGGTACAAATACTGTCTGGAAATATTATCCATATCCAGGTACAAATACTGTCTGGAAATATTATCCATATCCAGGTACAAATACTGGAAATATTGTCCATATCCAGGTACAAATACTGTCTGGAAATATTATCCATATCCAGGTACAAATATTATTTCAATATTATTATTATTATTTTAGTCCCTTTGTGTTATTCTATATTGTATTTGTTCCCTGTGCAGCACTTTGGTCAACTCAGGTTGTTCTCCTATCATGCTAAATCCTCTTCTTCATGTCTTTTCTTTATCAACATGTGTCCCCTCTTCTTCATGTCTCTTCTACATCAACATGTGTCCCCTCTTCTTCATGTCTCTTCTACATCAACATGTGTCCCCTCTTCTTCATGTCTCTTCTTCATCACCATGTGTCCCCTCTTCTTCATGTCTCTTCTACATCAACATGTGTCCCCTCTTCTTCATGTCTCTTCTTCATCAACATGTGTCCCCTCTTCTTCATGTCTCTTCTACATCAACATGTGTCCCCTCTTCTTCATGTCTCTTCTACATCAACATGTGTCCCTCTTCTTCATGTCTCTTCTACATCAACATGTGTCCCCTCTTCTTCATGTCTCTTCTACATCAACATGTGTCCCCTCTTCTTCATGTCTCTTCTACATCAACATGTGTCCCCTCTTCTTCATGTCTCTTCTACATCAACATGTGTCCCCTCTTCTTCATGTCTCTTCTTCATCAACATGTGTCCCCTCTTCTTCATGTCTCTTCTACATCAACATGTGTCCCCTCTTCTTCATGTCTCTTCTTCATCAACATGTGTCCCCTCTGTGTAAAGAGATTCTTTATCACCTGAATCTCCTCCTAGAGCACCATTGAGTTCTTTTTAACCAAATCTCTCTCAGAGGGGCGTGGGGAGGGGCTCCTTATTTTCATCTAAAGTAACAGACAGAGAATCAGCACTTTGGAAACAGGGCTGAAACAGATGGGATTATGGGTAATGCTGCAATGATCTGTTTGGTGTTTCAGCCAATCAGAGACAGGCTCTGGATATATCTGAGACCTGTGATATATTGATGAAGAACAGGATAATAGGGGACCTTTAAATGTGCTATATAAATAAATAAAGATTGAGATTGATTTGTTTTCTTCTTCTTCTTCCTCTCGTTATCTCCCTCCTCTTCCTCCTCTTCCTCTTCCTCGTCAGGTTGCTGTTCTGCTGTTGGTTTCCGTGGATGCTTCGCACTGAGATGCAGTCCTAACAACTTCCTCCGATCGATCTCTCTCCATCTTCTTTGTGCTCTCCTCACTGTCAGTCCTCGTAGTGAAACCCTCTTTTCTCTCAGCCCTCTAATTTAGCCGTTCTATAGCAAATCTATAGTGCCTTGTATCTGATCAAAATGTCCTTTGTTTCCCTCAAAGAAACTGAGCTAAAGCAACCCTAAAATATTCTCTTTACACACCTTTTCATCCAGACTCATGTCATCGTTGTGTCTTTATTTAAACACCAGTTTGCTCCATTTGGGTCTCTCGCTTAAAATTAGAAACCAATGCAGATGTGTTAACTTGTAGTTTTCTCAGCTTACAAATATATGCATTAAAGGTGGGGTAGGTAATTCACTTCAGAAACACTTGTTGTTATATTCCATGGAATGCTCTTAACATCCCGATAGCAATGAATACATTAAATGCTTTGACAATAAATACATAAAAACATTTCATCTGTGGAAGCCGTAGTACTGTAAAAAGCACGACCAATCATCTGAGCCGGCCCGGCTAAAGTAACTGGATGGCCTACCTGCCTGTCAGCCTTCCATCGGGGCACAAACTTATCTCGTGCCCTCATTGGTCATGTGCGCGTTCGTGTGTGTTGGAGGGGCTCTGTAAGGAAGTCTGAAGGAAGGGGCAGATTGTTTTCGGCTGCGTATTTTCAAATTCTAGCGCACTCCAGCTGGTTTCTCCATTCTTACCTACCCTACCTTTAATGTGTATGCCAAACCAAAAGCCTGAAGAAGCTCGTTAGACACACATTCAATTAGCCAACTGAAATTGTTTTCAGTGGTTATCTTTAAGACAATTTCCAAACAGTTTGAAATGACTTCTGCCTTCGCTGCTGCTTCCTCACCTGAGACTTAGAACTCAATCCTAAAAACGTAATAAGTGTGTGTGAAGTGACTCTCCTCACCTGCATGCTTTAGTCTCAGATGTCAAACTGAAAACAGGGTTAATCAATTGCTGAATTTATCGTAGTGTTACAGTCAGTTATTTTTGATTTGTATTTTTTCTTTTCTTCATTATTGAGCAGTTGTTCTTGGTCTCTATAAACACGCTGCTCTGTAATTATCGTGGATGCAGACATGTTGTTCTCAGCAAGTCAAATTTGATGTATCGTTCACGACAAATTGGAAAAAACATCGTACTGTTTCCAGAAAGCATTTAGCTAATTCAGTTGAAGTACTGTTGGCCTGTAATTATAAATCAGTGTGTTGTGCAATAGAAATTAGTCAATAGTTAGAGTTCAAATCTTAAGACGAGCTGCAATCATATTTTGTCGTTAACCAAAAGTGCTAACAAACCCAAACTTTCTTTGATGCAAATTTAAAATCAAAAGTGTTTTTCGCCCCGCTACATGTGATATTTATGTTTTTGTGCCGGTGCCATCACTCTAGCGTGTACAAAATAAGCTTCTTTAAAAACACCTGTATGGAGTTTAGTATTTATTTAGTGTCCTTTCATCTCATCCATGTTGGGGTTTCATTTCTAGAAATCTGAACCCTCGATAAACTCTCTTCACGACATTTGAAAAAGTTTCCTCTCTGCTTCTATCCCTCTTTTCTCCTCCCTCTGTCCTCATTTATAAAAAAAGACTTTGCTTCCTTTTGTGAACGTGAGCATCTGTGCAAAAAGTGAAAAACACAAGTTAATCTCAGTGTATGTGCATAACTGAAAACAGCAATATGTAAACAGTGTCTCTGTGGAAATGTGTTGATGTTAATCTCTACACTCTGTAAGCACACAAATACACGGAGATAATAAATAAAAAACACGCTCACATGCTCTGATTGCCAGGACTGCAAATAACAAATGTTTTCACGCTGTTAAAAAATAACCTAAAGATTGTTTTTTTGCACATTCAGACTTTTTTTGTTTCACTGTTTCTTGTAATGAAATACAGTTAACTTTAACACAAAACAAATAAAGCTAAAAGTGGACATCCAAAGCCAAATCTAAACCTATAAATGAAGAACATCTATTGCATCGTACAGGCAATATCCTGCGTTCACATTATTCATATATTTCTGCATTCTTCTAAAGTTTATTGGGAAAACTAAATTGAATGATAACCAAAAATATCAACATTTTCCACATTTGAAGTCAGATTTATTCTCCACTGTTTTCCATTTTTCTGAAACCGTCCTTAAAGTGTTTGAAAGATCGTTAAAGTCACTCTATACGCAGACGACTCAACGCTTTACCGTCCCAAATTCATCTCCTTTCCCCAATCCGAACCTGAACAAAAGAGCCTGAGGAACTAAATAATAATAACACCACGTTTTAGTGTTTTTCTAATCTCACGGTAAGGGAGGTGTTTTGCTGAAGCTGCAGGTGAACATTATAGACGTCAGTGGACACAGTGATGGTTGTCTTTGTACAGTAAACGTACCGTAAAGTCAATTTGTCTCCGTGCAGAACGTAGTGTTCTTACTGCTGTGTAAACGGCCACTAAGTGTCACTATCAAGACACACATGTCACACAACCTTTCCTCATTATTACACAAAGGGGATGTCACAAAAACCAATACTTAGTGGATGCAAATATTACTGTGTCGTTAGACTTTCTGATAATTCATTTTACAGACAAGGTTGTTAAATTAGCCTGGCTCTTGTTCATTTGTTTTTAGGATAAGGCGTGTCCAATTGCATTTAATACTATAACAAGCTTTTTGGCATCCCTTCATTTCATCGAAAGTAAACATGTTTTTCGCTGATAATGCTACATTGTGAACGACGCATCTGCTATCTGCTGGTTAACATTAGCAGTTAGCTGTAAACAGTAAGCTGTAAGCAGTTAGCTGTTAGCTGTAAACAGTAAGCTGTAAGCAGGTAGCTGTTAACAGTAAGCTGTAAGCAGTTAGTTTTTAGCTGTTACCTGTAAACAGTAAGCTGTAAGCAGGTAGCTATTAGCTTTTAGCTGTTAGCTGTTAGCTGTAAGCAGTTAGCTGTTAGTTGTTAGCTTTTAACTGTTCACAGTAAGCTGTAAGCAGTTAGCTATTAGCTGTTAGCTGTAAGCTGTTAACCGTAAGCTTTAATCAGTTAGCTGTTAGCTGTAAGCTATTAACAGTAAGCTGTTAACAGTAAGCTGTAATCAGTTAGCTTTTAGCTGTTAGCTGTAAACAGTAAGCTGTAAGCAGTTAGCTTTTAGCTATTAGCTTTTAGCTGTTAGCTGTCAGCAGTTAGCAGTTAGCATCTGGTGAACAGAGGTCCCATAGCGTTACTTTATGATGCATTCTTGAATATTGGGTGAATATAAATCATAACTTTATTATGATATGTTCCAATGTCAACTTGTAAAACGTAATTTGAATTACACTTTTACATTTACGTTACATTTGAACGGTTTTCTCGGTTTTCTCAGCAATTTACAAAGATTTAAAGGAAATTATGACTTTCTAAACAAAAAAAACATCTTCAAATTGTTTTGTTTTTTACCGTGGCATCGAGGATCGTGAAATCTGCTGGTATTGGTGTCGACTGCTAAATTGATGGTATTGTGACATCCCTTATTAGCCTACATATTGTCTATTTCATTTTCTACATTTAAAGGACTTCCACGGAGCTCTTAAACTACAAATGCAGTTCCTATTTTCTGTTTCTAAATTCTTCCTCAAGTTTTTTTTCCAGGCTTACTCAACATCAAATCTTGCTTCTATCAAATTAAAGTCACATTTATATTTGTCTCACCTCCATCTGGTGGCGTATACCATTGCGTATACGTGAAACAAGGTATTTGTAATTTTAGTTAACATCCAGAAATGCCGGTTTTGTCCTCTTAATTCCTCTATAATTGATCGGTATGTGTCTGAGAATAAAACGTTAAAGTCTCATAGAAACTAACTCAGCCCTGGTTCTTTTAACATCAATAAGAGTATACAGTATATAGCATATATTTTGATAACTTCACTAAGTGTACTTTTTGGTTCTCTGGTTTTGTAGTGTGTGTGTTTTACTTTGTGCTCAGTCCATGTGTGTGAATACCTCCTGTTTTAAAAGTGTGTGAGGCTGACGGACGTTAGGGGGAAACAGGAGAGAAGGAGCATCGGACAGAATCCTAATCTAACAGAAACTCACTGCATGAAACTCTCTCTCAGTATTCTCTCTTTTGTGTTTTTCAATATGTGTATCTTCTTCTCATCAGCATGGAAAATGCTTGATAATAATGACAACTCTATGAATATAATAAAGAATTTGGTGTTGTTTTTCTACCCCTCGTGTCCTTTGCTTTTACTCACAGAACACTCGTTTATTTTGATCAGTTATAAGACTTATAGTGGATTTTTTTATTATCAAATCATATTTAAATGTGATTTCCAGAGGTGGAAAGTAACTAAGTACATTTATGAGGTACTTGTAATTTACTTGAGTATTTCCATGTTCTGCTACTTTGTTCTTCTACTCCTCTACAATTCAGAGGTAAATGGTGTACTTTTCCTCCACTACATGTATTTAATCCCTTTAGTTACTTTACAGATGTGGATGAATGATGTGAAATATAATCAAGTGTTGAATCAGACTTTAGTTCCACCTGGAGTAAATCCACAAGCTACCCTGCAGTATACAAAGTCATTCAAACTAGCTGCACCTTTACCAGCTTTGATAACACTTTCATGATCAATCATTATAAAACATATCATATATATTATTCTGAAATGGACCAATCTGCACAATGACTACTTTTACTGTCGCTACTTTCACTATATTTTGATGAGAATACTTTTCTACTTTTACTTGAGGAACATTTTGAATGCAGGACTTTTACTGTAACAGAGTATTCCTACACTCTGGTACTTCTACTTTTACTCAAGTACAAGATCTGAGTACTTCTACTTTTACTCAAGTACAAGATCTGAGTACTTCTACTTTTACTCAAGTACAAGATCTGAGTACTGCTACTTTTACTCAAGTACAAGATCTGAGTACTTCTACTTTTACTCAAGTCCAAGATCTGAGTGCTTCTACTTTTACTCAAGAACAACATCTGAGTACTTCTACTTTTACTCAAGTACAAGATCTGAGTACTGCTACTTTTACTCAAGTACAAGATCTGAGTACTTCTACTTTTACTCAAGTCCAAGATCTGAGTACTTCTACTTTTACTCAAGTACAAGATCAGAGTACTTTTACTTTTACTCAAGTACAAGATCTGAGTACTTCTACTTTTACTCAAATACAAGATCTGAGTACTTCTACTTTTACTCAAGAACAAGATCTGAGTACTTCTACTTTTACTCAAGTACAAGATCTGAGTGCTTCTACTTTTACTCAAGTACAAGATCTGAGTACTTCTACTTTTACTCAAGTACAAGATCTGAGTACTTTTTCCACCTCTGCATGTTCCTGTACTGCATTTATTTTACAGCTTTAACATTTCATTCTGCATGAGTACTTTAACTTTTGGCCATTTAAGTGTTTATACTTTTACTGAAGAAATGACAATTTTAGTCTAATTTAAACACAATGTTCTTGAAATTAAACCATCTATTTAGATATGTATGCAACTTATCTTAGCAGTCTCTCGAATTCACAGCTGAACAATAAATGTTGAATCACTATTTTGATAATCCTTTAAATGTTGATATGCTTTTTTTGTCAGGAATTGCAGTTTTTAGACTCAGAATTATGGAGTACCTTAGACTTTGAGAATCTGGGATTAACATTATTTACTATTATCTGCCATTTTATACACCACTCAGCTATTAATCTAGAAGATAATCAGCAGATTAATTGATAATAAAAATAGAGTTAGTTGCAGCCTTAATCATTGCTTCCATTGGGTAATGAACTGTTGCTTAAACATCATCTATACATATAAAATCAATAAAAAAAAAAACACAAAACAAGACGAAATTCATTTCAACTGTTTATTTTTCAAGCAAAAACCTACACATGCACAGGATACACAGGTTCCAATAAATTACATAATAAAAATACAAAATAATTTAAAAAGTCACTCCAAAGAGAGTAAACTGCATCTTAACCCACACGTCTCTTTAATCAAGTCTCAGGTGTCTCTGGTGATTTCCCCAGCTGCACCTGAATGCATCATCACAGTTCATAACCTCTGCAGTCAGGAGGAGTTTGACCTCTGACCTCAGGAGGAGTTTGACCTCTGACCTCAGGACTACCCGATTTGCACGTCTGCTCGATTTGCACTGCGTAAGCACGAGTTGGTCCTCCATATTAGACAGCTACGTACGGCAAGCCAGACGTCCGTACTGATCTAAGAGTTTTGTTCTTGAATCAACTTTTTTTTTTAAAAGTAATTTCCCTTTTCCAGGAATCTCAACAGAAAAAGTTTGGCCAGACTAATACATTTAAATGAAAACAATTCACAGTTAAATATTAGATATGAATTATGAATGCCATAAATGATTGCATACATTTACAGTTTCTTATTTTTCCAGTGTGAAGGCTGTCAAACAAGTTCAATCCATTTCTCACTTATTCTAAGAATGTACTTAACCCACTAAAAAAAAATTACGTTATAAAAACATTAACTCATCTCTCTCGTTCAGAATGTTGTTGTTTATGTATGTTTTGTGTGTGTGAGGACCCCAGGGAGAATAGCCAATGCTCATGCTAGTGCTAACGGGGATCCGAATAAAGACAAAGATTAATGTGGTCGTTTTTTTTTTTCTTCTTTGCGAATCGCCGCTGTGTCAAATGTCCGACTTGGGTTGCTGTACGTAGCGGTCCAATATGGAGGAACAACTCGCGCTTGCACAGTGAAAATCGGGCAGACATGCAAATCGGGAAGTCACAAGGTGTACAGGGTTCAGAGGAAGGAGTTGAAGAACGTGTTCTCCTTCCCTAGAGACGGGGATTCGACCTTTGACCCGCTGCGCTGCCGTCTCCTCCTTCGAGCTCTGCGGTTCTTAAACCACACCTGAAAAACACAAGAGAGGAAGAATTCACTGCATGTTCACTTAACACCTTTCAAAAATAAAACATCTCTACTTGTCACACAATGTAAGGATATTTTTAGTCTATTGAGTCTTATTTAAAAGCTAAGAATTAAGAAAATCAGATTGTCTAAGCAGGAAAGTTGTTGTATTTTTGACATGAAATTGTCAAATAATTTGGAGAAATGAATTATAAAATGAGTGAATCTTAACCTGCCTAACCACACAGTAAAAATCGTGTAAATGACACAAATCAATGTTGTTGTTCTTTTGCAATTTATCCAAACATCAGATCAACTTCTGACCACTTAGAAATTATGTTTTCATGTAAAAATGTCTTTAAATGATATTGTTGTTTGAAAGCTTAAAAATGCTGTTGTATATAATATAAAGTACAAATTAAAACATATACTAATAAACAAAATAGGCCTACGTATTAAAATTATGAAATGAGAAAAGCTGTAAACTGGCTGTCAAAACAACTTTTATGTTTGTATTGGATGATCGATAGTCTGCTACAGACCGTGCGTAACAATGCCCCATGGAGAGATGTTATGCACATGGGTAGTATGTGTTAATCAGCATTTGTTATAGGCCTACAACGTTAAATATTAATTTCCAGATAAAAGGAAAAACCTAATTTGTCAGATTAAAATAAAAACCTCTCGGTAATTCGGTTTTACGCATTGTGTCTCTTCGTCTGAAATGATGATGATGTCACACTCACCCTGACAGTCTCCTCGCTCAGCCCGGTCATCCTCGCGACCTCAGCTCGCGCGTCCACCGCCGGATAGTCGGTGTGCTCGTGCAGCGCCTCGAGCCTTTTGGTCTGACTGTTGGTGAACACCGTCCTCATCCGGTTCTGACGCGACTGAGACAGCGCGGACACCCCATTCTGATGGTAACCATGGTATCCGTGGTAGCCTGGTAGGAACTGCTGAGCATATGCTAAAAACAAAAATAGATCAAATGGTTAATACATATGATTGTTGTAAATTGTAGTGAAATGTCCACGTTTCATTTCAACTTCTCTCTCTTTATTTTAAGTTTGATAATTTCCCCCGAGTATTCTTTATTCAGATCATATGTTATCATCAGTACACAATATTTAATACAGTTAACCCTTTAAATTACTGATATGTCAAAGACTATCAACTATATTTATTCAGAGGCAATTGTTTTGTAAAGAATCCATGAAAATAGCGTGTTTTTTTGTCCCATAAAAACAAGAGAAATCGTCTCAATCTAGTCGAAAAAAGTCGAAAGTATAGTCGATTTGATAAAGGGCTTTAGATGTAAATCTTTTAAGAAAACGAGATATTATGTTGTAATGGCAGTACGTTTAAATAATTATGGATTTAATGGGTTTAAATGTGGACATTTCGGTGGCGAAACACTTCTTTATTACAAACTTGTTTTAGGAGCTATGGTTGAAAGAAACTCACTCCCTTCCAAAACACAAATCCAAAAAACTCGAAACAACGGTGAGGAAAAACGGCTGCGCATCCATCATCTTTGAACTTATTATTATAAGCATTATGGATTTAATGGGTTTAAATACGGACATTTCGGTGGCTAAACACTTTATTATAAACGTGTTTTAGGAGCTGTGGTTGAAAAGAACTCACTCGCTTTCCGAAATGCATGCCATTCGCATTTCAATCAGAAACAACTCGATACAACAGCGAGGAAAAACGGCTGCGTTACCACTTCAATATAAAAGTTAAATACACGACCAATCATTTTATCATTATCAGTCAATGTGATCATTTCCCCCGAGATAAAAGTAAAGTAAATTCACATATGTAATACGTTTAACCCTTTAAATTACTGATATGTCGATGTTATGTTGTAATGGCAGTAGGCTACGCTTAAATACTTATGGATTTAATGGGTTTAAATGCGGACCTTTTGGAGTATAAACATCATACACATATAAGTTACCACTTATACAAGTTAAATAAACGAGCAATCATGTTAACATTATCATTACAAGACGTGCTCTTACCTGCGGGGTCCTGGCTGCTGAAGTGAAAATGAACCGTGGAGTTTGGATAAAAGCTGCTGAAATCTGCGGGATGATACGCGGCTCCATGCGGGTAAAACGCGTCTCCAAAGTGGACTCCTCGGTACTGAATGCAGCCTGGAGCCGGGTATTGGACCGGGATCGATACCGGTGGTGATCTGATATTCCCAGAGGATTCCTGCCCGGTCATCCCCTGGAGGAATGGATCCGGGGAAAAGTCTCTCATTGTCGGCTTGAGTCCCAGCTCAGGAGAGAGGATGCGCTCGATGCTGAAATCTGACACTCTGTTTCCGGACATGATTCACCTGGAAAACCTGCAGATATCTGAGCTCTGGAGAGTTCCTGTGTCCATTTAAACAGAAAGAGTGCCATCACACACCTGAGAGATGCTTCAATATGCTAATGGGGTCTGGAGACAGTGTTTGATGGAGGAGATCAGAGGAGATCTGAGCTTTGATTTGACCTCTTTGACTTTATATAATGATGGACCATCAGTCTGTCTTCACCCTTAATTTGTACTTAATGTGAGATTATTTGTTTAATTACATTTACCTTACTTAAATAACTTTGCCTTAAGCCTTAGATTTCAGATCTACAAAGTCTATTTGTATATAATGATGAACCATGAGTCTGTCTTCACCCTTCATTTGTACTTAATGTAAGATGATTTGTTTAATTACATTTAACTTACTTAAGTATCTTTGCCTTAAACCCATTTTTTACTTTTATTTCTGATCTACAAACTACATTTCTTTTGTACTTATTCTGTGTTTTGTTATCGTATTGTTGTTTATTCCTGACCACAATGTATCACTTAAGTCTCTATTCTTATTTCTATATCATAGTTCAAATGGTTTTATTTGGTTTAGTTGTAACCCTTTTCACATCATTTCTCTTAAACTTTAATATCAGAATATTTTAATGTGTATTTATAGTCTTTTATGTATGCATTTGTTACCCTTTTTTACTTGTCATCATGTGTAATATAATATGAAGTTTGTGTTCTCTCTGCAGTACATGGAGGTAATGAAGTATGTTTGATAATGAGACTCTGAATTCAGTGTTTGATGTCAGAGATCTGAGCTTTCTTTGACCTCTTGAACTCTGTGAAGTGATCTGAAGTGATTTAACAGGAAACACTTGACCTCATTTAATCTCTGAATCACCTGTTAGCACTCACCTGTCTTCAAAGGATTGATCCTGCAGGTATCAGGACTTCAACATGCGGTGTTTATTCAAATACTAAGACATCTGTGTTCAATAGGTTTTTTAATTATTAGCACAGAACAAGTCTTTGTCATTGTTATGTTGTAAATAACAGAGAAAGTCAATTAAATGTCCAAGTTGTAAATCATGGAGACACATTTTTACATTTATTTCAAAATATTGTGTTTTAATTAGTTTTTCCTCTTCGATTTCACTATAGGATGTTTTTATTCCCTAAAGTCAATGAGTACATGTAGAACTCACCCGTTCATCCATACAAGAAATATATACCCTTTTTCTTTGATCCATTGAAACACAAACTTAATATTTTGTCTCATTTTTATTTCTTGCATTACCTGTCATGACTTCAGTGTGATTTTAAATATTTGGGGGAATAATCTGCAGGGCGTGTTGGTGTCTTATGTCAGAAGTGTTCATTTGTTTATGATCAAAACCAGCAGTTCAATCAGGAGAGACTTCATTTTGTTTAAAGAACATTTATTGACACATGTCATATGATAAATGTAAAGTCTTTGGCGATTAGACCCCGATCCTGAAATGGTATATCTAAAGGGGGAAATGCAGCCGTGAGCATATAGAGAACCCCCCCGGGGGTCTAGACACTGGTGATGATGCTGAAGATCTGGATTTGATGAGGAGATGGGATGAAGAGGAGGTGTGATGAGGTCTTTGGATTAGCTCTCCTGGTACTGGATATGATGAAAGGAGGTGGATGGGGAGGAGGCGGATGGGGAGGAGGTGGGGGGGGGGAGGAGGCAGGCGGCAGCATGAAGACCTGAAATCACAGCTGACTGCAGGAGAGAGGAGAACCTTTTTAAAGTTTGGCTGCAGCACAGTGATTGGCTGCTGGAGAATGAGGTGACATGTAATAGGTTAAAGAGAACGCCTGTGATGAGCTGATTATAAGCAGCTGCAGAGTGAATGTATATATATACCCAGTCTTCCTGAAAGAACTTGCGCTGAGCTTCATTACCTGTCATGACTTCAGCATGATTTCAAATATTTGGGGGAATAATCTGCAGGGCGTGTTCATTTGTTTATGATAAAACACAACATAAAAAGGATCAAAACCAGCAGTTAAACAGGATATTCCAGTATGAACTGTCACACTGTGCTGCACTGAACAGTGGTATATATATTTAAATACATTACAGTGAAACCAGAGCACATTAATGCCGCTTTGATCTGCAGCACATCAAAGCAGGAGCTGACAGAAGTCAATTAGCTTTTCCTACAGTACATATTTCCTCCAAACTTAAACTCTGTGAAACTAGAAAAGATATATACATCTTAAGAATATATTGATACATGTACAGTATATTGTTGTGGTGTACATTTTCCCTTACATTTTGATTATATTATCAATAAATGTTCTTATTTTATCATCGAATATTTGATCTTATTCTAAAACAGCTGTCATTATTTCCCCCAGGATAAAAAATGTATTCTGATTTTGTGTCTGTACATTCCTCCTAAATTCACCAAAAGTAATCATTTGATAATGCTATTCATTTGGTCTTATTCACCTTTAGTGTTTAACATTTTAAACCAAATTAAAAATGGATTTGTGTTTTTTAAATGTCTCTGTGATTGTTCCTGCTCTTGGTTTCCTGTGAGTTTGATGGGATGTTATCTCAGTCTGACTTCAGTCAAAGATCAATCAGTGCTTAACAGCAGATACATCATCAACTCTCTCTGATCATCTGACCAACATTAACACACTGGAAAGCAATAAACAACTGAAGATGATTAAAGAGCACATTTAGACATTTAAACATTGATTAAAATAATATCATTAAAAAAAGCTGTACTGCAAAATATACAACATTTAAAGCAAGGAAAATATTAAATATCATCAAGAAAGCTTTTCAGAAATTGAGCAGAAACTGATATTTTGTGAACAGATGGTTTTTTTTCAACTTTTATGTTTGAAATGTCCAAATCATTTCCTATAGAGACAAATGTGGAACTACATGTAATTGGTCCAAAATAATAGATACTGTAAGTTTACAAAGAAATACATGTAATATGGTACTAACTTTGGAAAGAAAAGAAAACCTTTGGGTACATTTTCTTTTATGTGTCGTTCAATTTGAAATCGTGTTATCATATGATTTGAGGGACCTCTTCCTTTATCCATTTAAAGGGGACCTATCATGCAAAATGCACTTTTGTACGTCTTTTATACATGAATATGTGTCCCCGGTGTTCCAGGGAACTCACCAAGTGTCAGAAAACACAACCCTCTCTATTTTCCTCCATACCCAAATCTCTAAAAAAGGGGCTGCAACGGATCTGATAAAAACTGATCCAGATTTGAACACTGTCCTGACGTCAGGACGGTGGCGCTACGGCTATTGGGCCAACTCCACCAATCAGGAGGAGACAGCCACGGCCATTGCCGTTCGAAAGCGCTGGAGACGCTGTAGTACATATGCCAGGCCAGTAGATGGTGCTGTTCTCACTGAATCTGCCCTTGCACAAACAGAGCAAAAAAATGTCAAATTGAGCGAAATGAGGCATGGCTAAAATGCATGATCTGTTTGGTATTTTGAAAAACAAAAAGTATAAATATGCCTTATATAGGTATGGTCATACACTATATTATTAAAATATAGCATGATAGGTCCACTTTAACTGAAAAAAACGAAAAAAAACAGCTCTACCATTTGGTTGACATGTTATGCACAAAACAACCTCTAGATGTCACTGTGGTTCGAACAGAATGCCCTTCAGCTAGCTTCCACTGAGAAAGTTGGCATGCTAAAAATCACTCTCCTGACGAAATCACCCTTTTTGGTCAACTTTTGTAAGGTAACCATATCATTTTTGACATATTTTTTTGTCAGAGTGACTGAACATAATTAGATGACTTGATGCACAAAAAAAGTTGTAAAAGGGACCTATCGTGCAAAATGCACTTTTTTGATGTCTTTTATAAATAAATATGTGTATATTTTTTGTATTTAGTTTAGACAGTAGCTGCCGGGTCCCGCATGAGCTCAGCCCCCTCCTTTTTTATTTCTTATCAATTTTTTCTATTTAAAAAAAACTTTATACCCAAAATCAGCACTTTTGAAACAGGAAGTGAAATAGAGGGATATCTGTTTGGTATTTTGAGCAAAACACTTAATAGACATGTTTTTAATATATTTGTCGATATCTGAGACCTATGCTATTGCCTAAAAATAGCATGATAGGAGCACTTTAACAAGGGTGTAATTTTTTTTTTTTTAAATATGCTCAACCAATTGGTCGAATTGGCCTTTTATGGTAAACTAGCAATATGACTTTTTCAGAGTTTCAGAGATGTTTTTCAATAAAATATGGCTAGATTCATGGTAATATTACTAAATCTAGTACTCAGTCTCAGAGTGAAAGAGTGATAATAATTTATATAGCACCTTTCATGCATGGCATTCAGCCCAAAGTTGCACACAGATGAGCAAGTTAGGCCAACACAGGGGCCCTTTCTCATGTCATCAAATGTTCCTCCTCGACTCCCCTCCTCGACTCCTATCCTCGAGACTTAGTCCCGCCCACAGGAGATGCGAGCGGAGGAGCCGAGGAGGGGAACCGAGGAGAGAGGAGGGGAAGCAGCAGGCGGTTAGAGAAATGAGAACTCCTCTCCTCTGAGTGGTCATTTTAAAGAGACGTCCATTAATGATGACAGGAGGCACAGCAGCCCTCTGTCTGATGGACAGATGTGTTCATGACGACTTATATATTTACTTTCATTCATTCACAGTGCGGTATAATGAGACAATAACAGGCTACAGATGCGGACACACACATACACACACACACACACACACATACATATATATATATTTATATATATATTTATATAAATGTATACAATTTCAGAATCAAACAGAGCACTCTCATAATAACGTAACACTATCAGAGACTGGATATATCCCCCCCCCCCCCCCCCCTCTCCCCTCTCTGGTCGCTACAATGAGGAAAATAAATTACGGGCCAAAAGTTTTATTTACAAGTATTAAAAGTAAGCAGAGGACACCAAACCAACTGAGACCTGTCTGTCCGCTGCATCTACGCACACACTGT